TACCATACATACATACATACATACAGCCGAAAAGCGGGGTTGGGTTGGGTTGGGTTCACGGCACGGCCCCTTACATGTGAGTCGTACAAACAAGACTTTGCAAAGTAAGAGTAAGGCAGGCAGGCAGGCATGATTGTGTGGGACGTCTGTGTCTGTGTTGGCATATGGGAGGAAGGAAGGAGGGAAGGGAAGGAAGGGGAGGGGAGGGGAGGTTGGATGTATGCATGCATGTATGCATTGAGTTGTGAGGGAGGAAGGAGAGGAGAGGAGAGAGGATGGGATGGGATGGGAAGATGGGTTGACCATCCATACATCACGCCTGTGACACTCATCTACTCACTCACTCATTCAGCCTTGCGTACACGTACGAGCGCATAGATAGACAGACAAGGCAGGCAGGGCAGTGGCAGTGAGTGTACTTACTGTAAGACGAGGAACATGTTGTGCTTTGTATATAGTATCCATGTATCAAGCGAGCATAACAAGTTCAATGCATTGTAATGTTCCTCTGTCATCATTGGTCTATATATGTATGTGCTTGCCTGCTTTTTGATCCCAACCCAACCCCTAGATCAATCAATAGATCTAATTACATCTTCTTTCTCTGCACATGCACATATCCCAGCCGTAAATTCTCCTGTTCCGCGAGGCCTTGCTTTAATAAAGCATCGTGTGTCTAGGTAGCCCAGATTCCTGAATCCGTTTATAAAGACACACAAATACAATTCAGCCCTTCCTGTCGCTAAGTAAATAAAGCAGTAAATCAGACCCCGGAAAACGCCTGCCTAAATCCCATAGCATTATTATATAACAATATGACCGCCCCATGTACGCCTTGTAGATGCAGTCATTAATTGGTCGAGGCCGTTGTATTTTGTATAGTATCTCTGATGGTGGTGTGTGAAATGATCCTCATCCATCATCGTCTCCAGCCCACGTTCCATATTACGTGAGCAATATCCTTTGCCGTATTTACTGTGTCGACTACTTTGCCGAAAAGCCCTTCTGATACAACGTCGTCTTCGTCCTCTTCGTACGGCATGAACATTCCTGATGGTGTCCGTCTCATCCCGGAAGGCTCGCCCGTAAGACTGGATGATGACCCTGATTTTTGAAAGCTTTGTCGTTCCTGACTCACTGCTATGCTATCCTTCCGGTTCAAAAATGCAGTCGGTGGTTGCCAATCCATATCTTCGTCATCTTCGTCATCCCCAAGTAATACCCTCGTAGACGGTTTTGATGGCCTCAGGGTCTCTTGCGATGGAGATGGTGATAATTTGCTCCCATTCCAGAATCCGTTGCTATGCTTCATCGCCGTTTCTGGTGGTTCCGGGGTATCTTGCCTATACTTAAGGGTGGTAGATGGCAGCATGGCAATTGTCTTGTTGTCTACATTGGAGTTTTGTCGTTGCAATTTTTTGCTTTGGATAGGTGGCAGTTTTCGAGTCGAATTGCTTTTCTTCATCATTATGGCTCCATCATCGGAATCGCTATCGTCGTAATCATGGCTAGGATATGATGGCTCTGTTCCATCTTCATCCTCCCCTTTGATATCCAGGGCAATGCATTGCTCAACCTGCTCATTGAAGTGGATATGCTTCTTCTCTCCCGTGCTTGGGGTAGCCAATCCTGAGGAAGAAACGGATGAAAGTAGGGTAACATTTTCTCCGCTCATTCGTCTCGATGAAAGTGGGTAGGCGTAATTTGAGGTTGCGCGTCCAATCAGAGGGCGCTCAATTCTACCATCGACTGATTGCTGTGCTTGAATAGCCGCTGCAGCTTGCTTTAAAAGTGAGGATGACGATAATGACCTCTGAAGCATTATCTCAGACATACTCCGCTTCTTCAAAATTGGTTTTTTGTGCAGGAATGAGTTAGACTTCGATAATCGGCTACTGCTACCGGGAGAAGTAGAAGGCACATGTAACATTTTGTCTGAGCCAGTTTGAAGTGGCCCGTATAACCAAGTAACGTCACAATCCTTCAACCTGGAGTTTGTTAGTGATTTTCACTTCCAACACACTTTGTAGGCCCAAAGAATGCCCGAACTTACCAATTGAGAGTCTCCGGGGAAACTGTTTTCAGATGGTTCTTTGATTTTGTCCATGTTCGCCACGATGCATTCTCCAGCCTGGCACTATTATTGTACGCTTTCCGTTTCGATACAATGTGCTTCCATGATGACCAAATATCTTCTTCCTTCCAATTGTGTGATAGGTAATCTACATGTCGTGAAGGGTGTGTTCTTACCGCTGAATCGTCCTCGGCATGCTCTCTCGGGTCTGGGGAGCCAGGCCTCGACACATTGGTCGAGGTAGAGACCGAGGTTGGTGAAACAGTGTATGAATCACCTGTATGTGGGCTCGCCGGAGGTTCCAGGTCTTCGATTTGATCGTAATATCCTACGTCGTCGTATGAGGGGAATACTATTTGATCCTCGTCGGTTTCGTGCTCGCAATTTGCATCGAGAGACAAACTGCTCGCGGGGGTCGAAGAGAAGGAGGGGGCTGCAGAGTCTGCTTGTATTGTTCTCGGCGAGGAGGGGGCGGAAGAATTTGCGGAATTGGAGGGTGATACGAACTCGAGGAATCCGTTGCTGCTTTTCGATCTTTTCGGAGATCTCGAGTAGGACTGTGTCACGAACTTGGGTTGTGAATGCGAGCGATGAAGCGGGCTGGACGCGAAATAATTATTCTCTTCCGAGTTGAGCACAACGGCCATAGTGGAGGGAAGAGAAGAGGGGGTCTGGAGATAGGAGTCGAGGGTTTTAAGGTCGTCCCAGAGACCAAAATGACGGGATGCTTCGGTCCTCGATAGAAGTCTGCGAGACCAGTTTCGCAAGCCAACTATTCCCTTGCATTCGCTTCCGGAGTTTGATTAACCAACCACCTCTATCATTAAGAATTTCCGGATTCTCCAGGCGCGTTTTGGAGGGAACAGATGGTGGAGTCGGCGTCGATGGAATGGGGGGGAGGGATTGTGGAAGGGCAGGTGTAGGTATAGGAAGGAGGAGAGGTAATGCGAGTAGAAGAGAGGAGAGGTACTCGGAGTAGAAGAGAGGAGGAATACTCCGTGTAGAACAGAGGCAAAAGAGAGGTAGAAAATATCGGGGTGTTGCGTGGTGTATAGTCTACCCTGCTCCTAGTGGTGGAGGCGGAGGTCTACAAGTACCAAGGAGTTGGGGTAAATCAACGGCGGACAATGGCAATGCAGGCGTTCTGTGGCACTAACGTGGGGCTAGTCCGAACTTTGACGCATTCGGGCTGGACCACCAACTAGGTATTTTCTGACTGATTATTTTTTCAATTTTCTATTTTCAATTTTCACTCTTCAGCTATCTAGTGGTAAATACTCCGGAAGCAGCGACAGAGGTATAATAATCCTTGTACTAGACTGCACCAGACTACACTAGACTGCACTGCACTACCATAGACAAAAGTATATAAATCGCCTAGAACCACCCTCTTGCGTATGTCCTCGTATGCTCTATCCAGGGCTTATTGTTGTCTTCTGCCTTTCTGCACAGATCAAAACAGCCTTTCAAGGCGGTGGAAGATGTTAGGTGAGCCTTCCCTGCTGCTGCACAGCTGATAGGCACATCCGTACTCTTGTACGAATAGGTGGAATCTGTCTTTGCGACAACTGCGTGGGGAGGAGAGGAGGCATCGGACGAACACCGGCATCTATCTAAGGTCTCTGTAGCAGCAGTACTGTACAGACAGGACAGTATTACAGAGTACAGGGTGCATGGAAAGAAGCATCTCTTTGTACTTAATTCCCCTACTTGTATCCTTCCTCCGCCATCAACACCCAAAGTTGCAAAGAATCTTGCCTTGCGTCAAGGGTCAAGCCAAGCGAACCCCACTCATGTGGTCTGGGCCCTTGGCTATCGTGGCTTGCGACGATCCGAGTAGCCGGCCCGGCACCCCCACACCCATCTTTTTTCATCTACAGTATGTATACTGTACTTCGTACGACGCCACTGACAAGAACTCCGTACGGAGACTCGACGCACAAAGGATTCATTCAGCGAGGGGCAAGGGCTAGGATGAGTGAGGGTCAAATGTCAAATGCACCACGCGTGTGGGGGTTTGTGTACCATTGTTATCATTGCATTGCTATCATTGCTATCATTGCATTGCTAGCATTGCTATCATTGCTGTCATTGATATCTACCATGCTTACTTCGTACCGTCAAATACTGTAGTTACGGCACGGCTTCGATATAACCTTCCGTCTATCTACCTACCTACCTACCTACCTACTGCTAAAATGAGCGGTCAAAAACCTGTTATAAGGTAACTTGTGAGCCGCTTGGCCGTCCAATCCTCATCCGCAAACGTCGGTTCGTGTTTACCCACTTTCAATCGTGATTCGCCAAGGGTAGAAACCCCCTGTTAGAAGTCTCCGTACTCGTAGAACGACAACGACCCCGTCCCGTCTCCCGTCTCGAAAGCACAAAGACTACGAGTACGAAGTACAGAAGCCTCCAAGAGTCGAAGCGTCGTCTTCTTGCTGTGTCGACGCCACACCTTGAGCTTGCCTGCTTGCCTCCAATTCCAATCTGTCCCTCGGCTTTTCCTCGTCATCTTTAGCGTCAATGATGTGCCTACAGTACTCCGTAGAAACACCATCCATCATAAAAGAGCCGGGATAGACCGAAACCCTCCGTTCTTATCCGAGCCTGACAGTCTGTTCGGATCTTCTGTTTTCGTATCAATAATATTACAAAGTAAATAGACCATTATCTTCATCTTCATCAACGCGGAAAAACTATCTCATCACGTTCCCCATAGTCCCAATCTGTTTACACAGACTGCGACTGGAATTCGCCCAAGTTTAGTGGCCAACTCGAGTTCAAGATACACAGTGCCCTCATATCATGACACGTTAAAAGCTCTGTCTTGATTATATCTAGGAAACTACCCAGGCCTGGGCCTCACGATTGTTGCATTTCACAGTCTCCTTTCTCTTGCAATAGTCCAGAGTCGAATGAAAGTCGCGAACAACCAAGCTTCTCACCCCATTCTACTGTAATATGAGCACCGAGAGTAGTCAGTTCAAAGAATCAACAACTGGTTGGGAAGTGGTATAGTAACGACCTGAAGTATCTCATAATGGAGAATCGAAAGGAGCCAGCCCCTTGAAGGTGGCGGCTCCTCTCGCTGCAGCCAGCTTTCTGGAATATATCATGCACGTTTTAATCAAGCTTCAAATTAAGTCGTCCTTGGACTCCCTGAGTTCTCTGAGGCTCTTTAACGCGACACGACTTAAGTCTCCTATGAAGAGCCATCAAATCAAATCAAATCAAAGCCACTCCACTATTACAGTACTAAAATAACCATGCCATACCCCCCCGTCTTGATCTACTCAGGGAGTCGTTTAATTTGAAAGCGGCTAAAGGTGGAAACGAAACAGATGTCACGCAGCTCGAAAATGCAGGTTGACTACTTGGACTTCCATTTTCCATTTTCTAGAACATGACGCTACTCTTATCACTATCAGCACCATGCCATGGTCTTTACGCTCCGTACTGGCTTGGATTGAGTCACAGGCAGGCACGCCATTTGCAACCCTGTGGCGCATCCTCAAAAATGGATCACCGTGGATCTCGAAACACCATGAATGAAAGTAGGACCGATCCATGGTTTCGAGCCGTGGATGAACAACTCATCAAGATGAGTCTATTCTAAAACTCAGCGCTAGCCTTGATTTCTTTCATTCAATACGGATTTCTAGGTTATCGCAATCCTCTCCTCTCCTCGCATGGTATTTGGTACTTCTCGATAAGCTCAATTGGTGGGTCTACAGTATGCACTGCAGCCTTCAAGCCACTGTTCCAACTACCCGCTCCGCCTATATGGGATGCAGGATATTCAAAACCTGATTTTACTTGTAGCAGCATGATACATGCAGCTTAGGTGCGTACATGGCGGCAATACGGAGTCCAGTATCGTTTTAAATCATGTACGAGTAGGTTGCTACATACCATACCATACTATTGCAATACTCCTCCGTACAGTAATAAGAGTAAGATTACCAATGGAACTCTGCCTCTGCACAGATATAATATGATACAGCCACAACTAACGAGAACCCTCGTTTCAATTAAACGTCAGCGGTACAGAATAAACCAGCCAACTGTAGGACAAGGCAAAGTTGCATGGCATGCTGTACCTACCACTGAACTTCATTTCAAGTACTGTACATGTACTTACTGTACGATAAGTTATCTCCTGGCATCGCTTTACCTGCCCCGGCATGCCCACGCAGAATTCCCACTACATCATACTCCGGAGGCCAACCAACCAACCTACTCAATTCAATTCCATCCAATCCATCAAGTTATGCTTCTGCGGCCTTCTTTCTTATCTCAAAGGTCGTCCGTAAGGGGAGGGGCTCTGCGTACATACAGTACAGCCTTGCCTAGCAATTCCGGATATTAATCTAGTATCCCTGAAAACCACCACACCCTCAACTTTTTTATTTTTGGCCAGGCCCGCTCGCTCGCTCGCTCCAACGGGATCCAGTACCTAAGGTAGTCACCACGAAGATGCAACTGGCAAGTAGGTCGAAGCCGAGAAACGCAACGCATGCTGCTGTAGCGACTGCCTTGCCTTTCGCTGAAATAAACGGTGCTCTCTGCAGACTGCAATGCAATGACTATCTAGTTACTAGACAAGTCTTCAATCGAGTACGGACTAACGAGGGGACTAACGAGGGGCATTTCTTATCCCCCAGGTATCAATGGATATCAATCAGCGCTTGCCTGCCCTCCCGCAGCCACCACGACCGGAAGAAGGCCCGTCGTGCACGCTACAGCACCTTAAGGTATATAGTATGTACGCATGCGGCTGCGGCTGCTATCGGAAACCTTCTTTCCAACCACCTACGTACCATACCGTCCTTTTCCACCATCCAACACAGGATCGAAGAATAAGGATTCCACTTATTCTTCTGCATATCATTACCTCTCAGCGAGGTACAGCAACAAATTGAGTTCAGTTGGCGGCGCAATATGTCTCATACACAAACAACCTTTCGCAATGCAACGTCAGACCACACACACCTAAACAGATGGCCCGTATTCCGGTCCCAGAACCTAGGCCGCACCGACCGCCTATCTCAGATGTGAGGTCAGATAGGAAGGATATGACAGGTCGGATGGCCGCTTATCATGGGCGCCGATCAGATCAACGCAGATTTGTTAAGATAATGTGCTTATGGAGGGGTAGAATAGCTGTTTATTTTTGAGGTGGATTCATTCATTCATTTCTTCCTCCCCTCCTTTCTTCTTATTCAATTTCACAATACCCATAGCCAGAGCCTACAAATACATCGCTTATACTTCTCCATACTCCATTCATTCCGTCAGTACCAGCCAGTACAGTACCGATCTGAATCAGGGGTAGGCGGTAAATTTTACCTCTCCTGAGCTCCTCCCATTATTCCGTATCCATAGCTACCTCGCTTGCCTACTACCCTACCCCAAGCTTCTCGTAGTCCGTCTGTCTATCTCTATCTCACATGTCTTTCGCCTCATCTTCAATTCAGATTCCGATATATTCCCTTCCTTTCTGCACGACATACCGAAATTCCCCGTCTTCTTCATTGCAAGAAAATGATATAGTAGAACGCCTCTTCACCACCACCCACTACTCTCTCTGCCTTCCCGTTTAAGCATTTCCCCCCTTAACCTCGGTTACCCGTATCGTGCTGGATAGGTAAAGCGACACTGATCTAATGTATTCTAAGCGGAGTGGCGTATATTTGAAAATTGTCCATAACGAGTGCCGCTTTTTACGTCTACCCGCAAGACAAGACGACGCTCAATTCGTCCCATCTAATTCCGCGTGCTTACTCCGTAATAGCCATCGCACTATAGCACAATGTATAAATCTCAGCTAGCCCAGCCAGCTAGGTAGGATTACTTGTCGTAAATCCACCGGTGTGAACTGGAGCAGCATATGGCTTTGCTCTCATTCATATTCAAGAGGTGATGAACTAAAGATATATATATACCTTTTGAAACTAAAAACCCTCGCCTCCTATACTTTACTTTACTTTACTTTAGCTATTAAGGATTATATGTACGTACGTACGTACCTTTTCACGAATCTTAACTTCTAGGATTTCATATATTGAGGAATATATAAATTCATGTTATGTCCTGATTAGAGCCCCGAGGAGGAAAAAAAGAAAACTAATAATGAGCTACCTAGCTAGCTCTAATGCCAATCATCCTCCCTCCCGCACTTGGCGCACCAAGACTGATAGGTTAGGACTAGAGACCCTAAAATGGGTTCGAATCGATTATCGATTCTGAAAAAGGGGGAGTCAGCTCGATCGATCGGCTCGCTTATATATGAGAGACGCCTACGCCATTGATCGGAAAGCCTAAGTTGAGGCATGTGGCTCCTACTAGATGTCTGCCATATACGTACGTACGCGCGTAATTTTCGCACAAGCAACCGTGTATCGGTGGAGTAATAGGGTGTCTTTCCTTGTGAGTGGTAGATCTGAAGCTTTGATTCATAATCTTGCAAAGTACCTACCTAGTCTTAACTTGACACTTCACGTCTATCTTTATTCGGAGTTCCGCACTTGTGAATGTTTATATGAAATGGCCCTCTGTTGGTAGAGAGATAGATAGACAATGAGCAGCTTCGATATGCAGGCTTTCTTTCGCAGAAACTCACGTAGGTAATTAGCGCCTTTCACCCCATAGACACTTTCGCAAGATTCAGCCAGCATCTTGGTGCTGTGCATATGTTTAAACGGCCTAGAGTCATTTTACTCTTTATTGAACTTTCAAAATATTGCATCTTTAGCTATTGCTTCCATACTTTTTAATCAATCTCTGCATGATTCTTACAGCACCACCTCGATATCCGCCTCCGAACATGGCATAGTGATTCAAGTGATGATATCTATCTTCCGTTAGCTAAATAAGATCTTCAATGTTTCCTTTCCCAAACTAGCGAATATAAAATGGAAGATGGTGGGCCTAGCCTACAGTTCGTAAAGTTGGACTCGGTCCTCCCATTCCTCGACGGGCTCATCTTTTGGCTTGTACTTCCAATATTCCTTGTTGAAGCTTCCACCAAACCCTCCAAACATGCCCATGATCCCGAACTCAAACTCGCTATGTGCCCATGCTGCACTTGCATCGAAGACTACCTCTTCTGCGGGGCCACCTCCGATGGACCCTCGTCCTAGATTCAGATATCAGCACATCCCTCAACGAAATACACTTACGACCTATTCGAGGAATCTGCCTGCATACCATGATTCCCACTCCACAAATCCCCATGTACCACAACAGGTACAATCACCCCTCCCGTCCTCCCATCCCTCAACCACCCCTCCCCAAGCAACCTCGGCACAACCTCCCCCACAACCCCCTCCACCAGCCTCTGCACCTCCCCATCCACCCCCTGTTTCCCCTCCGCCTTCCTCGCAACCCCCCTCAACCTACACTCCCCATAAAACTCTGCCCACCTCTCCCTAAACCCATTATCCTGCTCCGTCTCCCCACAACACGTCGGGACCGGGAACCCAAACATTGCTCTCGCATACCCATCGGGAACAGGAGCGGGCGCAGAATGCAGCTTTGCGAGTTTTTGAGCAAGTGTCATGTTTGAGCCACCATGGCTGGCAGCGGAGGGGGAGGTAGAAGAATGGGAGAGATCAAGGAAATCGGTAGCGAGGAAGGAGCCATTGCCTGTAGAGAGCTTGCCGTTTGCGTAGCTCTTGGGACATAAGCTAGGTACAGCGTTGTGGATTGCGTTTAGGGAGGCATGTTCTCCTATATACAGTATTTTGACATTAGCTCATGTGCTGCATTACTTGATCGCTCGATACTTGATTGTTTTGTAGGTAAAGGGGTTCTGGGAATAATAGAAATGTACCTGTAAACATGATTTCGCTTGCTTTCCCGTTCCCTTGTTTGACGAAGAAGAGTTTCTCTTTTCCTTCTACCGTGCTTGTGATTTTAAATGTAGATGCGAAACCTGAGCCGCCATGCGAGACAATACTCGTGGTCGCAGCGTCGAGGGACAGCGCTGCCAGAATCGCTGGGTCTATTTTAGGTGCCATGTTGTGACAATAGTTTCGGGAATCTCAAATGATAAAACACGATTTGAATAGGTTGATGCTTATGTTGAGATTCATAAAATGCGAGTCTGATGTTAAGATGTTGGCGTGACGTAAGGTCAGGTGAACATATTTACTATGCTATCATCAGGTAATTGCTTACCATTTTTCTCTTATGTTATAAAGTTGATTTGAACCCTCAAAGTCTTCGATGGTAAAGAAACATGATGATAAGTGAAGAAGGACAGTTAAGTCACATGATCACTCCTCCTAGATCTGAAAAGGGGCTCGTTTGACTTACACATATGATTTCCGTGCCCTCCACACCAATCTACCAGATATACCAGATTACTTCTTATAAAGTCCGACTTATTCTTAAAAGCCGAGAATCTTCTTCCCTAAATCTGATATTACATACACATTCATCTATGACTTTTAGTCTTAATTTTCAAAGCTGCAATACATCCTACATCCTACACTCCGGGATTTTGAAATCACATCAACCCACACACGAAAGTATCTCTAAAAGCTAGCTTCAAAGATAATACAATACTTCTACTTCCATTCCCCCACACTTATGTATAAACATTAATAATAAAATCCCGATACATTATCATTCTCCGGCCTTGGCGCCTCGGATTCCTTAGCGTCGATGCCGATTTTGATATGTTTTCTTAGCGCTACGACGTGCAACAAAGAATTTAGGGTTTGGTTATGCATTGGGTCTACGGTGCATTAGGTCTGTGGTGAATCAGTGGTGGTGGAAAGGGGCAGATGGGCAAAAGGAGGAAAGTAGAACCGGTCGTGGAAATTGATAGTCTAGCCGAGATATTTAATAGAGATGGGGATGGGGTGGAGGGGAGTATGAAGTGAATTGGAACTTGGAAGTGAAGAGCTAGGTGCGAGATCTACAAAGAGATTTGTCTATGAGTACTCTATGAGATTTGGTATTGGGAGGAAGCGGCGAGGCTTGAGAACCGCGGAGATGGAGGACGCAGAGCAGTGGACTTCATAAGTTGAAAAGTTCTAAATTGAATCTCATTGTCACGTTTTACTCGAGTTGCGAGTATAATGCATTTTCGTCCGCAGCAAAGGTTATATATAAAACGCCGTAGCAGATCCTACAACACCCCTTTTAAAAACATGAACCCCACCCCGCCCCTCGAGAATCAATCTATCCATTCTAACGTCCTCTTGTACTTTTTTATAACAACTTTGTAATCGCTGCATCATAGTGCCCTCTTTAATATTGCAAGAAAGTCGTACCAAATCAATATAACTTTTTCATTCACCGATCATATCATAACTTGACAACAGCAATTACTTCATGCTTCTCTTACACAGCCAAGCAATCCTACACGTTTATGAATATACAACTTTGCGACCCCGAGTTTAGGAACGGGTAGTAGTTTGTTGATTGTTAGTACGGTTATGTTTTGCACTGCAACCACCATATACCAGTAAGTGGTTTCTGGCTTTGTCTCTAGCTGTTTCTAAACCAAAGCCAGAACAAAGCGCTTTATATACACGCCAATCTAATCTCAAGGGAGAAAGAATAAGAGGAAATGAATTAGCGGCCACAGAACTAGATTGAGAATTAGAGAAAGAAAATTATACATAACAGGATACAGGGAAGTTCTAAGCTAAATCTACCATGACAACGAAAGACCTCGCTCCTATGGGGAATTTCCTGGCATTCTACTTTAAATTAACAAACCGAACCTCATATTCCTTCTAAGTTTCCAAGATAGTACTTCTTGATACTTGTTATGAGCCGTTCACGACTTCCAATTCCAAAGATCAAAAAGCTCCATACCACCAAGACAATACCAAACACTTGAATACACAGCCACATATTAATTCACCGCGCAAGATATCTTTCAGCAAATGCTAATCAACGAATTTCAATAAACGAATGAACGACTAGTAAATGACAGCAAGGAAACTTTAACAATAATCATATCCCCCTAGAAAAAATTAACCCACTTAGCACAACATAACATGCACCTCATCCAAAACGACCCACATCTCTATATATTCACTCATAGCAAACCCCGCTCCCCCAAGAACTCCTGAGAAAAACTACAACAGTGACAAACAATCTGGAGACAGTGGAAGTATAGGCAAAGAAACGTACAGTACGCGGCATTTGTGGTATTTATATATATCCATTCCTTGCTATCAACTATCTAATATACGCATACGCATACGCACACAATACTCTCAGGAAAATCAAACAATCCACTCACCAAACAGTGCCTGCCAGCCGTACATCACAAACGTGCATGCAATACATCCATCCCTCCTAGACTTACCGTACCCCTCAACCCAACACCGCTTCCCCGTCACATCACATCACATCACAGCACATCATATATAAACCCCCTCCACTTCCTCCCTCCGCATTCTTCTCTTCTCTTTTCTTTCCTCTTCCACCATAACGCGTAGATATCATAAAAGCCGAGGAGACAACGACATCCCTCTCTCGGATCCATGCATGTATTACCGCATACATATATACATACTTGGCTTTCCTCTGTCCGTACACATACTACAACACTCAGCCAACCAACCACCCAACCAACCAACCAACCAACCAACAAACAGCGTGTGACGGCTAATAACTAACTTATGATATAACTGAAATTAATGAACGAATGAACGAATAAATAAAGTGAATAACCCCCACCCCCATCCCGGCCCCCTTTCCATATCTTCAACGCGCGAGCTCCACATGTCCTTCCTTCCTTCCCTCGCTACCAAGCGTCATAAATCGGAAGCGCAGCAAAGTGTCCATGTAAACCGTGAACGTGCAAGGATGCCATCGGGTGGCTTATACATGTGGTTCTAGTTCTGCGATATATCTAGTACAGTTAGTACACGTGCTTGCTTGGTGACCCATCCCTTCCTTTCCTTGAACGCTGATATAAACGAGGAGATACGAAAGGGGTAGATGAATAGACGAAGAAAAGAATAAAAGACTGGCTGGAAATGGCGCGTTTGATAATAGTTGGAATGGGAAGCCTGACTTTAAGGGCGCTAATCTAATTATCTATCTTGCACCACGTGTATGAGAAGTGGTATTTCCAGAAGGCTAGCCGGAGGGATATGGTTTAACTGCATCGTATTGCAGGGCAGGGCAAATATACATCTATATATTATATACGACCCTCCCATACCTTCCCTTCCCTTCCCTTTCTTACCCAGGATCTATCTTCCTCTCTTTACGTCCTACCCCTTCTAGGATCCAACGCATCGCCCCTCCTATAATCTCTAACCTCCTTCGTACCCAAACTTCCCATCCCGCCCTCACCCCTCCTCTCCCACCCCCCCAACCGCACAACCAAACACGTAGCATTATCGCCCTCCCTGCTAACCTCCGTCGCAAAAGCAACGACATCCTTCGCACCCTGCTCCGGCGTCTTGGCCTCTTTGACCACATCGACGATCTCCTGATCACCCAGCGTGCCGGACACGCCATCACTGACTAGCACAATGAAACTATACTCCGCCGGACTTAATTCCACGCGTGTGATTTCCGGTTCGGCGGACACCCCGATGCGTTTCGAGCGCATGTCACCGAAGGCACGCGTGTTGGCTAGGCCGGACATGCGTTCTTCGCCAAAGGAGTCCGTGACGAATGTGGCGGCGTAGCGACGGAGACGCGTGCTTTCGATGGGGGAGGAGGGGTGGTGGTTTGTAGTAATGGGTCTGGCGAGGCCGGTCGCTGTGTCGCAGAGGAGGATGCGTGTGTCTCCTACGTGGGCTGCTACTAGGGTTGATGGGGAAGCGGGGTGCCAGAATGGGGTTGGTGTGGGGGTTGATATCATGGCTATGGAAGCTGTGGAACCGCCTACGAAGCGGTTGGGACCTCCAATGCGGTATTTGGAAGAGAGATGGGCGGGCTCGCCAAGGATGTCGTTTGCATTCAGGGGCGTGTCGTTGTGGTTGTCGGGGTCTGGTTTTGGGCCTGGGCTGTGACGAAATCCAGGTCTGCTTTTAAGAATGCGTACATGAGGACTGTTTCAATGGAGATCGGATGTGATTTTGGTGAGCCGTCTGTTGATGAGGACATGGCAAAGTAATCCGGTTTGAAGCGTCGAAAGTAACCTCCAACAGTCTCTTTCCACCTAGAAACCAAAGACTTCTCAAGCTCAATCGTTTTCGACATATTAGACCCCACAGGCTCCTGATTATCGCCTTCCAATGTAGGACTTTCGGTAGCTTCAATAATACCCCCATTCTCGCCCGTCTTCTGGACATTCATCTCTCCCTCCACATCCTCTTTACTCTTCATCTCAACCTTCTTCAAACTTTCCTCGGCAGGGGGAAGAACCTCACGCTGAGAGCCTCCCTTCTTCAAACTGCTCTTCAACTCAAACAGCGCCGCCGTCCTTTCCACATACCCGTGCAACTCCTCCCTCAAAAAATCACTACACTCATTCCCGCCATGTCCATCGAAAACTCCGAAATAAAAAACTTGTGGATCCCCACTCGCGCTCTCCGCACTCGTCGCTTGGGCCGGTCCCCCTTTTCTACTCAAGCTAATTGGCGCCCGTTTGGCAAATGCTGGGACTTCTAACGTGCCCGCTTGATACGTATCCTCATTATATGGCCGCGTACCGCGCGAGACCGAGACGCCGAAATGGTGTTTAGCACTCCGCAGTGGGATTCGTACGACGGTAAGCTCGCGCGAGGCTCCGATCATTGGCGGGGCTGCGGCGGGGGAGGCCCCGCTGCCTGTGGTATGGGGAGTTGAGGCTGAGCGGGGGAGTTTGTGGTGTGGACCTGAGGAGCGGGAGTCGGGGTGGAGGGAGGAGGAGGGAAGGTTTGTGACGAAGTAGTCGTGGAAATGCCTAGTTTGGGAAGCATGTTGACGGTGTTGCGCTGTAGGTATGGATCTGTGTACCAGGGTTGAGGGGACGTTCGTAACTACGTAGGTACGTATGTGCTGATTTCGGATCGGAGCTTGTTGGCAGGACCTTTGAAGGGTATATATAGGTCTATGCAATCTATTGCTTCTATGATGTACATCTGATCGTGGGCCCTGAGATCGTTTACGTGCCAAGGACGCTGTGTATCGAGACATATCGTGCCGGGATTGTCCTGATTTGCTCAGGAAAGAGGCTATGAAGTCTGCGCGAATCATGTTAGCGTAGTCCTTGTATTCAATCTGAAGGACATGAGATAGTTACCATATGTGTCTGCCAGAGACCAGGGGCCTCTGGATCTGATTCTTGCCATTGCTACAGATGGGGACAGATGGCAACTAGCAGAGACACAGATATCCTCACAACGGGAGATGGCGCAGAGCCAATCGAGAATAAAACGCTATCCAAAGCCTTGCCATCGGACATATGTCAATTGAAGACGATGAGCCCCGCGGTTGTAGGGTTGAGGTTCGTGATTAATCCGGGTATCAAAGGATAAGAAGAGAGACGAAGCTTGAAATACGTTCCGACTGCGCCGTGTTACGCAGGCTCGGGATTAAATGTTGCGCAAGAATTGAAGATAAGAGATATGCATCCATAAATACAAAATTGAAATTGCATAGAGGTTTCCAGGTATAGATAGAGAGGTTTACGTTTTGAAATCGTCGGCGTTAATACGGGATTCACCATCCCATCAATGCATCTCCACACTTCGGCAAAATATCCAAAATCGTCACAACACCGAGAAAACAAGAGAAAAAGTCCATCATTTCATATTGCATGAAACTTTGATTATCATAATCATCGAAAATATATTATCTTTTCTATGTGCATTATCAATCAAAATCGCGCCTATATGGATCGAATTATGTGATCCAAAGCCCTCCACCTTCCCACTGATATTACTACATAGCCAGGTATCTTTATTTCATCGTATCCACTAAAATGCTTCCTTTGCCTCAACCGACTTTCACAGCCACATCTGAAGATGCCTCAGATGATCGTATCTCATCCTCGCCCGCCATTCTCGCGATACGATTCTCCTCCTCAACCATGCTTGCCGCTCCCATATCTGCCAAACCGTACCTAAAGAGCCATTAGTTATGATCCTTAATGAAGTCGAAGAAGGTACGTACCAGGTGATAGTAGCTAGACCAAGAAGAGCTGCAATGCAACTGAATGTCATTGCTACAATACCCCGAGCAGTAAATCCGCCTGGTAGTGGTTTCGGTGGCACAGGTTCACCAGTCAGGTCAAGGAAGTCAACAGTGTTTGCTGCTGCATTACCGGCAGAGGGGGTGTTTCCGGCTGTGCAGGCATCAAGATGGTTTTGGGGGATGGTTTGAGCCTTCTGGAGTTCCAAGGGTGCCTCGACCATTGTGGCGATTAGACCTTGGTCGACGTGCCATTCGATGCTACACGGTAGAGTTAGAAATGGGTTCATGACTGAAATGGATTATGCACGCCGGAAAGCATGATATTGATAATTGTCAAGGATCACTTACTGGCAATGGAACAGCCACACACCCGGGTTGTCAGCCTGGAAGCGGAGGACAATATATCCTTGCGGATAAAGGACAAATGTATCTCTCCGCATTGGAATAGCTGGGTACTCGGTTTGAGTGGCGTTCGTAGCATCGAAACTTCCAGCATTTTCATCAGACCGTGCAATGGCCTGGAAGTTGTGGCCGTGCAAATGGAAGGGGTGCTTTCCGGTGTCTGTAACCTTATCAGAAATCGAACACTACTGAAGCAATTTGAACTACTTACCCAGGTTATTTACAACGATTTCGACGATTTGGTTGTGAGCTAGCACATATGAGTGCGAGTATTCTCCATACACCAGAGGATTGGCGGCATCTTCGCCCGTGGTCATCGCAGTGTACAGTGTAGGTACCTTTGGAGATACGTAAGTAATGTTGCTGAAGAATGCACTAGAACATTGTTAGTATAAAGCTACATAACCTAAAAGAATGCACATACTATGGCTTTCCGTTTCCAAGGTCGTCCATAATCACATCAAGGGTGATGATCTGATCCGCATCTGGCAACAGAGGTGTCTTATCAACTGGAATCAGAGTGGCATCATCAAACTCATTGAAGTCGGCGTCTGCAAGTAAAGTTGGGTCCGGATTTGGATTATTGCTGTCATAGACTAGCCATCCTGTGGAGTTCCAGTTCAAATCATCGGGGAGAACATCGAAAAGAGACTGGATAATGTTAGCTAGGCAGTTACTTGAGTATAACGAAGCTTACTGTGTCCATGCTAGCAACAATCGGATAGTTGGTAGTCGTCTCGTTCTTAGTTTTAATCAGGACACTGTACCGCTGGGCAGCAGCTATGTAGATTGTCTCTGCCTCAGCTTCATCGGTGTATACTCCATCCACTTCAACGATACTCATGTTGTGGCCCTCGAACCAGACATATTGGCCAGCAAAGGCTCCAATATTGACAAAATGGAATAGGTAAGTCTTTCCAGCTGTCACCGGCACAGTCAAGTTTTGTGTGTCATTCATCAATGCGGCGTCCGGGACGGGCTCGGCGCCTGTTGGGTTGGCTACACTGATGAATTGGGGGATCAATGTTGCCATCTCGTCGTGGTACCAATCTGAGAGCGATATAACAACCTCTTCGTCAACCTGGTCCTTGTATGGGTAATCCGGATCACTGATAATAAAGGGACCCCGAAGACCATCTGGGTATTGGCCATGAATGTGGGAGTGATACCAGTAAGTACCAGCTTGATTAACCTGAACTCAGATTAGCGACTAATTGACCAATATTTACAGCGAGATAAATTACTGTGAAGTTGTAGGTAAATTGGCTTCCAGCGGGAATCCCACATTGGGTGACCATTGCTGGTCCGTCCATTGCTGTAGTTCCATTCTGGAAAAGGCCGTGGAAATGAAGCGTGGTGCTCTGGTTTCCCAACTGATTGTCTACATTGACGATGACTCGATCGCCAATCTCAGCGGTCATGACGGGTAGTGGCCATTGTCCATTTATGCCAATGGTCGGTCTCTCAAAGGCACCATCAGGATTTGTGTTGACCCAAGTGATGTTGAAGTCGTATGTGACGGTCTTGTTGGCTGCTTCGGCGAAGAGGGCGAATGCAAGAAGCAGCGCCAATGAAATGGGGAAATGGGAGAGGGAGATCGCCATGTTGAGTAACCTCAGCGACACAGATGCAGGATTAATGTTCTCAAACTCTCGCTGCAGTTGTTTCGAGGTAGTTTGACTGAAAAGAGCAGACTTGTTTCCGGGGGCCGTGCTTGACACCCTTCTAGACGAACTCGAAGTGGAGGCGATCAAGCAAGAAACTGGTGATGGCCGAGGTCGCACCAGAGACGGGCTTTGCTCACGACGGGCTAGAATCCTGGGAGAGAAAGACCGCAAAGTAGTAATTTATGTAATGTAGGTGGGGTCCTGCAATGTGATAAGATGATCTGATTGAAGGTATACAGGGGTCTCCGGTGCCACGGGCGCGGAGTTGTTATCAGATTGGTTCAGTGGGATCTAATCAGATTTGATTGTGCCCGCTCAGATGGAAAACTCTGCGATACGAGGTGCGGATGACCTTAGGGAAGGACCTTAGGGAAGGGGAACGGCGGGTACGATAAATTGTCTCACGCCTTGGAGTGGAGAGATAATTGCTTTTTCGAGACGAGATGGCGGAGGGCTGTCTAGTTGAGTGTTGGAATAAGAAGCCTAAAAGTGTCAAGATGTCGATATGCGTTGTCTGAACGTGGGATGGAAGACGGAGAGGTTGAATGGAACGCCACAGAGAACGCAGTGCCGTAGTAGGAGTACTACCTATGTAAATAATCTAGATTCTAACACGGGTTGAATGCTTCCGAATGGGTGGGTGGGTGAGGTGAGGTAGAGAAAGGCAGGTCAGTAAGTCGACCCAAAGCACTACTTACCTTAGGTGACCTACCTTACTGGACTGGCTACTCTTAATACTGGATGCAGTGCGACGCTCCAGTACGGACAGAAGCTGAGTGAAGAAGTCGTCTGCCAGTGCCAAGCCATGTCGGGAACAACTGTGCAGGGAGCCAGGCTTGAGATCAACGCTACTGTAAAGTATAGAGTTTGCCGTGATTGACCGTTGCTGTTGGCTGCAATAATGCTGTCGTGAAGAAACTTTTTCCACGCTTTCCATAATCAGATCCTTCCTGGCCATCTGATTCGTTCATCAGTAGTCTCCACACAATAGCCGACATTGATCCGGCTGCTTGTTCTTGACTAAGAGCCCTGCATCCCCACCCCTTTCCCCACCTCATAGGTCGTAAAACAAACTTATCAGATCCGCGTGGCCTCCCTCTGCCCTCAAACCTACCAAGTAAGCCGTACTTCCATATGCGAGTCAGAACAACCCCCACCCACCTACCTACCACACCACACCACACCAGAGCCGATCTCAGCCGAATCAGTCAGGAGCACGACACAATTCCATTTCGTCGCCCAACTCTATAGCAGATATATTCCAGCTGCATAGTCGCATCAGCTCCAACAGTGCTTGTCTTGTCTCTTGGACCAAGATCTGATAAGTATATTCGACAACATCAGCTCCACCCCGTTATCGCCCGCGAATCACTCTTACCGACCCGCACAGTAGCGTCGCATCGTACGATTGCGGCCTAACATCCCTGCCCGTCCCTCCCGTTTAATCAGATCAAAATTCAACTGAACCTGCATTATCTGATCGCATCCCCTCCATCATCAACCGGCACATCCAACCGCACCTGGTTACCACCTCCTTCCTCTTCCACTTCAAAAAAGGTTCACATCCTCAGTCGCTCTCCAGTGAGAGTAAATTCCAATCCTAGAATCACCTGACGACTCTCTTGACTTCTTGTGAAAGAAGTGAATCAACATGACCGTTAATGTCTTTGCCGTCCCGGTGTTCTTCGTCGTCTTCAGAGAGACGCTCGAGACTGCCGTCATCGTGTCCGTCTTGCTTGCATTCTTAAAGCAAACCCTCGATGGCCCGAATCGCGATAGAGCCGTGTACAAGAAACTTGTGAAGCAGGTAAATGATCCCCTTCCAACCCGCCAAACATCTTCCTAACGTTTTGTGTTTGTAGGTTTGGTATGGCACAATAGCTGGTCTTGCCTGCTGTCTGATTATCGGCGCCGGCATGATCGGTGCCTTCTACGGCCTCGGAAAAGACAGATGGGCAAACACCGAGTATTACTGGGAAGGCTCCTTTGCCATCTTTGCGTCTGTCGTAATCAGCATTCTCGGTGCTGCTCTGCTCCGCGTCTCCAAGATGCAGGAGAAATGGCGTGTCAAGTTGGCCAAGGCATTGGAGACGCAAAAGGTGACCACTGGTGGTCGGAGAGGGGCGTTGAAGCGATGGGCTGAGAAATATGCCATGTTCATGCTACCATTCATCACGGTTTTGAGAGAGGGTCTCGAGGCTGTTGTATTTATTGCCGGTGTATCGTTTTCATCGCCTGCTTCTGCTGTTCCGTTACCAGTTGTCATTGGATTGATCGCTGGCTTTGCTGCCGGGTGGATTCTCTACAAGTAAGTCTCTTTGAAACCGCTCTTCTGGACCCCACTAACACATTCAGGGGTGGCGCTACCTCCAAGCTTCAATACTTCCTCATTATCTCCACCTGTCTCCTCTACCTCGTCGCCGCCGGTCTCTTGTCCAGAGCCGTCTGGTACTTTGAAGCTCAAAATTGGAACGACATAACCGGTGGTGATGCCGCTGAGACAGGATCCGGTGCCGGATCCTACGATATCAGAAGGAGTGTCTGGCACGTCAACTTTGGCAACCCAGAGCTCAATGGTGGTGGAGGATGGGGTATCTTCAACGCAATCCTGGGATGGCAGAACTCTGCAACATACGGCTCTGTTATCTCGTATAACGTGTACTGGATCGCAATCATCATTGGCTTCCTCGTCATGCGGTACAAGGAAACCACTGGACACCTGCCACTCATGAAGGCGAAGACGCCCAAGGCTTCTTCCGATGAATCGAGTCCGTCTGGCGGTGGAATCGTAAGCCATGATAGCGTGAGCAAGGATCCAGAGAAGAACGTAGCGGCAGTCGACGCATTGCCCACAAGGACGATCTCTGAGTGAGTACGAGAAGATTGGTGTAAGAATCCGCCCAAGGACCTTGGGCGAATTGAATATTCATGCCGGAAATAGATAGATGACTTTTTAATGAAACGAATGCCTGCATACCCACCGCACAGGCATAACTACATACTTCCCTCGGCGGTTCTTTGGATACAAATGAGCTACCTAGCCGTGCATGTACTTGGCCACTTTATAATATACAATAAAAGAAAAATATAACCAAAGAAAAAAAAACACAACATCATCCTCCACACTACACCAAGCTCTGAACCCAACATTGAGAAATTGCACCATCCTCCTACTTTTTTGGTTTTCGAAAACTTGCAAGTGCAAATAACTTATCCACGCAAATATCATTCAATGCTTTTTATCTTTTACAAAAACCTTAAAAAGCAAATTGCAACCCAAAAAAAAAAAGATGTTGGGAGAAGGAACGAAGGAAGGAGTGAAATAAACGGAGAAGCTAATAACTATATCTGCATCCATCCATCCATCTTCTAGCTTTAATCAATCATCTCCCTCCCATCCGGGGGAGGGAGACGCTGATTTTGTCGGTGTACTGTATGTATAACGGGGATTGGTGGTACGAAAGATCTGGTGATTGTATGTATGGTATGTATGGTACTCGAGTACTGTACTAGGTAACACGAGCGGCCGCCTGGGTATAACGCTACTGTACTGTACAGCGTGCAAGTACGTACGGTACGTACGCGTACGTTGTGTAAGATACAGTAAGTAGTAGCTAGTGGTAAAACAGAGGAAATGAAGTAAGTAGTTTTGGATGTCAGTTGCAAGGAAAGGACAGGAAAGGAAAGGATGGAGAGGAAATGGGTTGCAGGTATAGTATGTAGGGTAGGTATGATGGATAGATAGATAGATACTGTAGATAGATGGTGGGTTGCGTTGCTGTGCTGTAGGTGGTTTGGGTACGTACCAGAGTATGCATGCTTGGTAATAGGTTGGCTGTTATTGGTGGAGGGAGATATAGGTGGAACCGAGACAGGACATGTTTCCGCCCCTTTCTTGTACAGTAGGTGGATGAATGAATGAATGCATGCATGAATGTATTGTCGTTATGTGAAGATAAGGGGATTTATTTACTATACTCGCAGTAGTGGTAAAATAGTGCTGCGTAGATTGTCCTTGTCCTCGTCCTCTTTGGGGCTTGCTTGTTGTAAGTACCGACTAGGTGGATTTCAGCTATCCGCCCGCATGTAAAGCTGGTAAATGGAGTGATAGATTGATATGCAAATCTCAGAGTTCATTCTCAGTCAGCTACATCCTGGTATGCCATCTAAATATGCCATCTAGTATCATTACTCATGAAATCTACTCTACACTACCCTTCCCTCGCCCCAACCATACTCTCCAACCTCCCAGCCAGCACTCTATGCTTCTTAATAACCTCCACCCACTCCCCATCCTCATCACTTTCCTCCTCCCCATCCCCCTCGTCTAAAAACGCAAGCATTAAGCTGAAATCCCCACCCAACCGTCCCAAACTCCCCGCACAGTAAAGAACCTGCGTAAGCAAACTATCCCTACTACTCCTATCTCTCACATTCGGCAAATACGTCCTCAGCGTCCCCTCCAACATCCCCACCAAGTTCAACGCAAACGTCCCCAACGCACTAGGCAACGGCATCAACGGATCCTCCTGCCTGCTTTCCCCTTTTAGACTCTTGAACTCATCTAGTGGTACGGGGTTGGCTGAAGCTGGAGGGAAGATAGAGCGGTACATGCTAACAATCGCAAAACTCTGTTCCCGAAAAATCTCAATATATCTCTTCAAAAACCGTTCCGTCTGCTGGCCCCCCTCCCATTTCCCGGTTTTCGCTTGCCCATTTCTCAATTTCGCCGTTTCTTGATCAGCGAGATCACGAAGCGGAGAAAGCGCAGAGAGCATTTGGTCCAAATTTGATAATCTGCAAACTAAAAATAGTGCTCCTAATGCTCCTTCTCTTGCGCCTAGCGAGAGTGTGGTGTTTGCGGGAACGGGATCGAGTTCTGGTGCCACGCGCCGCAGCCAGCTGATTGTACGCATTGCGCTTGCGAGCTTGAGATTGTTGGCTCGTAGACTTGCTATCAGGTTGCTGCACATATCTTGCATGGCTGTTTCCGCCTGTAGACTCACGCTTGATATCAGGGGGGACTCGGGGTATAGGCCATGTAAGCGCTTGATGTGCGCGTTGAGATCGAGGGCCGAGGCATAGTTTAGGGTTGCGTTTGTATTTGTGCTTGCTGCTGTGTTGGAGGAGGATGATATTGCTGAGGAGAGAAGGGTGGGCAGGTCGAGGACGTCGGAGAGACGGTCAATGTTTCGGGAGAGAAGGAGGGCTTTTCGCCGGCGGTCGAGGAGAGGGTTGGGATTTTCGGGACGTAGATTATATGTTTCGCTGAAGTGGATAGCTGCGTCGTCTAGCTTGGGGAGGGCATCTCGCAGAGAGGCTGAGGATTGAGCAAGGGCAGGTAAGGTTGTGCCTAGAGTAGATAGATGTGTAGAGGAGTCGATTATGGCTTTGTGTGAGCGTTTCGAGAGGGCTTGTAGGGAGCGTAGTAGTGAGTTTGTTGTTTGAGTGAGTGATTGGGGCTCGGTAGTTGTTAAACTGGAGAGGGGGAGTGTTGAAAGCCGCGACAGGTAAGTAATCGTGGTTTGATCTGTGGATGATGGCGGGGGTCGTGGTGAGGGTGTATCGAAGTAGGGGACTAGTAATTCATATAAGGGATCCGCCATGGTTGAGGTTGCGGGGTGGTCAAATATTCGAGTCGCTCGTAGTAAATGTACGGAGGTAACTCTCGAAGTTGAAGGAACGCTAGCAGTCTAGCGTGGAATTGGTATTCCCAAAACCAAATGTACTTTTCAAGATACTAAGATTCTGATAAAACGAACCTATTTGGCTTAAATGGATAAAACTGAATAATAAGCAAAGTTTTATGCTAGCTTGTATATAATAAGATGGCTTTTAAAAGTCAGCTAAAAGAACCTTAGTTCCTGGAGCTACCTACTCCGTAAATGCCCCGCTAAGGCCCGAGCCACCACCACTTGTGTGACCACCGCAAGCATATCTACATACATCGACTTTCTTGAATTAAAAGAGGCCCTGGTGCAATTGATTCTGTCTGACTAGGTTCTTGACTCCTCAATCATACAAGGGGAACAACAATGTCTATCCATCGCCAAAATGGCCAGGACAAGGTCGCTACCTTCAGAGGCGTTTATATGGCTGGAAAGCCGGCCAACAGTCGATGGAATGTATGTTGCCAAAATGGAGTAATATCATCTCTGTCCGAATCTATCGATACCTCTGAAGAAGCTGGACAATTCCTAGGTCCTAGTCTCTGTCATCCCCACATACATCTAGACAAATGCTTTCTTTTATCATATCCAAAGTATGCGGATCTAGAAATAAAGAAGGGTGATTTTGCAGAAGCAATGGAGTTAACTAGTATGTTCTGATATTTCTCTTCATAAGAGCTGTCCAGTAACGCATTGTGTTTCAGCTACAGCGAAGTCTAGATTCGAAGTAGACGATCTCATGGAAAGAGGCAGAGCCTTGATCGAAGAGTCGATTAGCTTTGGAGTTACTCATATGAGGGCCTTTGTCGAAGTAGACCATGGGGTTGGTATGAAGTGTTTAGAGGCTGGCCTCCGTCTCAAAGACGAATTCAAAGATCACTGTTTCGTCCAAATTTGTGTCTTTGCCCAGGATCCAATCTTCAGCTACGATGACAAAGGGCAAGCCATGAAGTCATTGCTGGAAAAGGCAGTTGGGATGGAAGGAGTCGATGCATTTGGGTCTACTCCTTACGTGGAAAAGGACCTTCATACCCAAGATCAAAACGTCTCGTACGCCATAAACTTGGCGAAGGATCACAAGCTACATTTGGACTTTCATATCGATTACAACCTTGATCCAACACAAGAAAGCGTAGTCCTTGTGGCCATCGACTATCTACGCAGATATGGATGGCCTTCGGATTTGGATTCCCCAGACTTTAGAACCATAGTATTCGGTCACTGCAGCCGGCTAACACTGTTTGATAAAGCCGAGTGGCTCAATATATCCAAGAAATCCCAGGGCTTGCCAATATCATTTGTCGGCCTTCCCACATCCGATCTCTTCATGATGGGAAGACCAAGGGAAGGGGCTGGTGGTGGTGAAAGGCCCAGAGGCACACTTCAAATTCCGCAAATGATTGGAGAATATGGCTTCAACGGAGCCATAGGTATCAATAATGTTGGTAATGCCTTCACACCCTACGGGAGTTGCGATCCTCTTGCCCTTGCCAGCATTGGGGTTGGAATATACCAGGTACGCAACTTCTGCGAGCATTTTTTTTCGTGTCATCATTCGGACACATTCGAGACTTTGACAATCCTTCCAAACGTATCGAGGGGTTCGATACGTTATAAACACCTGTCGAACTCCAAATTGTTCTCATTCAGACAGTACTAACGTAAATTTGCAGGCTGGAACAAAGAAAGACGCCGAGGTTTTGCTAGTAAGTCTCCGGAGACACGCTTTGTATGCAGAGTATTGCTAATACTATGTAAGCAATGTATATCAAGTCGAGCCAAGTTAGCGATTGGTGCAGGAGCGACTTTTAATCATGAATTGGATGTGGGTGAGTCTGGAGACTTTGTAGTCTTCGGTAAGGCCGTAGCAGCCACCGGATCGAGTTCATTCAGATCAAAGAGGAGGACAAATCAAGATTTGATAAATGATCCACCACATGAGAGGACAACAGTTTTCCGGGGGAGTATAGTCAGTCATAGGTAGCTGTCACGCATACAGCCAAGGAGGGCAGTTGTAGCGACTCACATGCCACGTGCCATAGTAAGACAGGCAGCCGAGATAAACATGTTCAGCTGGCTAGGTGGTTCTGATTCACCCAGGGGTCCGTTGGAGACTATAATAATCCAAACCTCCCATAAAGTAGAGAATTAATCGAACAAACCGACAGATTCTTTGTATCAAAAGTAACAACTCCGTCATCGAAAGACCCCGAATACTTAGCGATATCCGATCATCCACGATTACGATAACCCCTGAACGTCGACCCAAAGTGGCTTAGTGCTGAACATCATTCCCTAACTCCGCTTCTGTTGGGACTCGAGCTCGAGTCAACCGCGTCTCTCTCTTTACTTCTCGTGATACACGAGTGAAGAGCCGCATACGACGTTGACGCTTCCTGGTGGGAAGCAGAAACGGATTATTTTATTTGCCCTTCTTAGGTTATTCTTCCCGATTTCTGACCTCCCAGCCTTCCACCTCCAGAATGCACGATCCCTTTCCTATAGGTCCGCCGCCATGGCTTAGCAAGGCCGTACAACCATTCGCAGACACATTTCATCTGACTACACTCCCTATGCACATCCACCAAGTCCTCGGCAGCTTCATTTTCTACTATTTCATCAATCTAGTTGTTGCACCCATCGCTTCTCGCAAACTATTCCCAGCCAAGTATGCAAAGCTGTCTCCGGAGCGGAAGATTAACTGGGACGTCCATGTGGTATCGCTGGTCCAAAGTACTCTTGTCAATTCCCTCGCACTTTATGTGATGTGGAAAGATGAGGAGCGCAAGGCCATGGACTGGCAGCAGCGAGTCTGGGGCTATACCGGAGCAGCTGGAATGATACAGGGCTTGGCCAGCGGGTACTTTCTCTGGGACTTGGTGATTACCCTTCAGAACGTGCGGCTATTCGGACCCGGCATGCTTGCCCACGCCTTTTGCGCTCTCGTAGTATTTTCTTTTGGATTCGTAAGTAAAGCGGCTTCACTGCAAGAAGAACATTTACTAATAACCTTCCAGAGACCTTTCGTTAACTTCTACGGCTGCACATTCATCCTCTACGAGCTATCCTCTCCTTTCCTCAATTTCCACTGGTTCTTTGACAAACTCGACATGACTGGATCTCGCGCCCAACTTTACAACGGAATAGCACTTCTAGTGACATTTTTCGGCTGCCGTCTTGTGTGGGGTACATACCAGTCCGTTCGAGTGTACCAGGATGTTTGGGCTGCTATCCACCACAAGCCAGCCGCTGCAAGCATCCACTTTGATGCCCTGAACAACAGCACCAACGCGGCAGCAGATGCCGCAGCAGGACACAGCGCAGCTCCTATCCACGGAGATATTATGCGATTCGCCGGCGAAGAGTTTGTTCCGTTGTGGCTCGGCTTCACATACCTAGGAAGCAATATCATACTCAACACACTCAATTTCTACTGGTTTGGAAAGATGATCGAGACTGTCAGGAAGAGGTTCCAGCCGCCAAAGGAGGAGAGGAAGAAGATGAAGGCTACGACTACAGCTTCGAAGAGTACGGGCGCCAATGGAAAGGTCAGGGTCGATCTTGATGAGACTGAGGTACGCAGACGGAATGTTGTGGGTGAGCCTTTCCCAGCAGTGACATAATTGAAGGATTGGAGCATGGGTGGTAATGAGTCATGAGAGAGGAATAGCGTTGTTCGGTTTTGTGTATGCTCTGGATCTTTTTTGTATCAAAGTTCCTTACCCCTATCAATCTTGACTGTCGGACTGGCAGCTATGGGGTTTTCACTTCGCAGGTGAGAGCTCCTCGGTGGCCTTCTCCGCATTCTGCGATTGATTGTACAGGGCTACTAGATTGGCGCTTGGCGGCTTCCGGTACGGTGTTTATAACGAAGGACATAATGAAAGCAATCAAACGACCTAGCCCCGACAAGCTGTATTGAAAATTCGAAACTCAAAGCTGAGTGCCTCCTCAAGTTCGATGCTCTTCAGAAAAAGCAGACGGCTTTCTTTCTTTGCAACTACTATACTACCTTATCTCAACTTTATCCTACATCATCGTGCAAGTGCACGTTTCAGCTTACCCCTTAGACTCACATCCTCTTATTATAGCCGAGTTCTTACTCAGCCCTACAGAGAAATGGCTTGCGCTTATGCATAACTTCTGACTTCAGGATTATAAGGATTCGATATTTAGTGCAGAGTCAGCAAGCACTGCTGAGAATCCCAGCTAGCTCTTTTCTTCTTTTAACTTTTAAAGCTTACGTAATGGTAGAGGCCATATTGATGCCATGGTTATATATTACGCGCGCTGCTGAAAGAGCTTGGATTCGACACATTATAGGCTCTTTTATGGGGTAAGGGTCTGGCTGATAAGTCTTATTTTAAGATTGGTACTATGTACCTTTTACACTAGCGTCAAAGAGCCAGTCATAGACTACCTACGTAAGGTACGGAGGTATGAGGGGTTTTGTCTATCAACGCTAAGTAGTCTCCATAGTCAGACTCTAAAGAAAAACCAATATCTGAGTTTAAACTTTAAAGACTACAGAGTCCAGACCGGGATGTGGCACATCTTGATATATCGTGCTTTCCGGCGGTATTAACAGTGTAGTACGCTACTGGTAACTATACGATATCTCTCAAGTGATTGGAGCATATAGATTATGTGGAGTAAGTTTAACATTAAAGCCTTACATTAAATCTAACCCCATATATACCGGCAACTCATCCTCAGCCCCCACATAACGGCTTGGGACCAATTCGGAATACACCGTTCCAAAAGAAACGCTTAGGCAGCTCAGCATTCAAGCTACGCCGAATTGATATCTGTGGGGCTTTGTGTAGGCAGAAAGTAACTAAGGACTTCATTATCAATTATTTGGTATTTTGCTCCGTGCGGCAGAAAAGTAATTTGATTCCCTTTTTAAGTTTAAAGGACCTGTTGTGAAGTGCATACCCTATCTGCCAATTTAAGTGGCTATGAATAGTAATTTAGAGACAGCAGATCATTCGATTATCACCGTAAATTCTCACTGTACTCCGTAGAAAAACCGGGGTATGAGTTACTTGTCAACTCGTCGGCCGCACGTAGTAGGTAGGGGGTTAAAATAAGATTTACGAAGCGGGTCTTAGTGAGAAAGAAATAAGATTTCAGTTGACGAGCTGAGAAAGGCGGCGGAATTGCGGTCTTCTGATTGGCTGGCTGTGCGAAGGAAGTGTTACCGTTGGATCCACGAGCCCCCTGCGTTATGCAGAATCCAGTAAAATTCTCAGCCTTGAGAACCTCGAGAACCTCATTAGGTTAGCAATTGACATTATTTATACCCCCTGGCGCGCAAATCAATCCTTCGCGGCACAATGGTGCCAGCCTTACCATCATCAAACGCACAGCCAACCTCTAAGCCTCTTTTTGGCACGATTTAATACTCTATTGACCCCCCGAAAAGGGGGGCGTTCTTCAACGCTCCTCTTCTTTATCTTTTATAGTATTATACTCGTCCAATTCCGTCCACTGAATTAGTTCCTGTTCTGAGAGGTTTAGCCTATTTACCGTACCCTCAATCCACCAATATGCCTCGTCCATACCAGAACTCTCTTTTCGGCTGCTTCACTCCTTTCGACGGCTGTAAGTTATACATATCTCGTCGAGGCTGGATATGAAAAGCCTCATTTATTTTCATCGACTTTTGTTATCCTATGCCGCCTGGGGCTTTTAAAAGCAGTGCCGCTTTTTTGCCTACTACGAGCCTATCTATACCTGAAATAAGCACATTACTGACATTTTCCTTCCCAGGCCTCAAAGCATGGTGCTGCACTTGTGTCGTCTCCGGAAAAAACCATCAGTAAGGATGACTCTAATTTCACCCTACTCCCGAAACTATCTTGGACAGAAAAGAACTAACTCTCCGTGATCTAGTCGTATTGCATATGGCAGTGACCAAGGATACAGCACCTGTAACGCATGGTGTATTGGATGGGCCGCGCTCGCAGCCGTCGGCGGATGTGGTTTTTTCCTGCAGATGATTGACCGTGGTAACATGAGACAGAAATACGGTATGTTGAGCCAAACATCAATCCATCCATCAATCCAAATCAATCACTTTATCACATGCATACCTTGAGCATTACAGTCTGCTAATGTCTTACGGAAAAACAGATCTCGAAGGTTCGGGATGCGGCGAGTGTTGCACAGCTTTCTGCTGTAGTTGTTGCGAGGTTGCCCAGACGGCCAAGGAGCTCGATTATTTGCAGATGGCGCCGGGTGGTGCGCCGGGTGGATATGTTCCACAGGAGAAGATGGATGCTGTTCCCCAGGCTCCTCCGCAACAATACTAGATGAGATATTCCATTGCGTGGGTAATTTTAGGCTTTGGGAGTGGCGACTCTTGCTCTTCTCGTTATATTATGTTTGGATTGGTTGGGTATGAATAAGCAGGAGTTGGTGTGCCAGATTGCAAAATTGGTTGGGTACTTGAGCTTTGGATTTTCTTGGATGGAATTGGGAGGCATTAGTGCGATATATATACCTTATTGCTTTCCTCACTCATACTTATTTGCCGTTGAGATTTCAAAGCATGATTTTTTCAGACACGTTTTTCCTTCTAAAAAGTCTGCTCGCTGTCAATTTTTCTGGCGGTGTGTTGAATTTGAACTTTTCCGACCTTTCCCCGCTGATTCAACGTCATTTCGAGTAGGTATTTTGAAGGCCCGGCTTTTTGTTCTGCTTTTATGCACTCATCTAACAAATTGATATTAATATAAGTATAAAGCCAATGTCAGGATCTTCAACCTACTAATCGTTTACCAAAACTGTATACAAGCAGAGAGCACCCCATTTCTTAGAGTCTTGGAAGTTTCATTCGAAATTGAAAAGTTCTTGGGGAGCGTTGGATTTGACAGACTCTGCTGTCTTAGAGTTGCGATCTTCGGCCGATACTTACTTTATAAGGAAGCAAGCTCACGAAGATATTGCTTGTCATCAGGGTGTGTTTTTTTTGCTGTCATTCTCTCGGTCGTTATTTTTTCTTTCATGCATGTATTGACTTCATTGATAAATCAATATGGTCCCTCCAAATGCGCAAAACAACGCCATTTTTACCGGGACCACCGTGGATATTGATGAAAGAGGTAATACTGGAATTCAGGAGACAGCATTATTGTAATGTCGAGTTGTTCTAGCTATGTGAACCGAGAGATCGGTGGAGGCGAGGCCCCTCATCTTAGCTAAACCTGTGGAAGAAGTATTGAGGATTCATTCAAACTTTCAAAGTGAGTTCTGTCTTACCCGGGGTAAAGAATGAAGCCTGACCTTCTTAGGAAGTCATGCCCTTGGCGTACTGGGGAGATGGGTTTCATTTTGCTCCCCTTCTTTTTATATCTCCTATTTGATTATCCCTAATCTTGGGTTAGAAGAAGTCAAAGACAAAACCAAAAACAACTTCAAGAATAGCATAGCATACCTCCTAGCGTGTGACCACTTTATACATGTACTCGTTTTTCCTGTGGGTCTCCGAAAGACACTGCTGCATGTGTTTAGGGTGGACGGCGATCATGGTCAACAACTTCCAGAGGGCGTCTTCGAGGTTGAGATGTTCCGAGGCTGGGGCTCGATGTGCTGTCTTTCGGTGGACAAAAGAAGCGGTACTTGTTATCATCGACTTTTGATGTCCCACGCCGCCTAGGACATTATAAATTCGTGCCACTTTTTCTGTCCGCGGCGATGTTATGTTGATGGTACAACCTAATCTCATTTGGCGAGACAGCCCACGAAATACTATCGGATGACAAAGTCTGAAGGTACAGTAGTTGGATAGCTTCGGATTATAAGTCTTTCCAAGTAATTTCGCGCTTTTACTCCATAGCAGAGACTAGGTAACCCGATGTACTGGACAGGTATTTTTTCATAGATGGCATTCGGGCCATCGAAGTCCATCAATACCAAGACTTCTGGACGAGGGTATAGGCTCATGTAACTTGAATAAAGGATTTTTGAACGAAAAAATAAACAGGAGCGAGTAGAACAGTAGATGAAAACCTCCTCCAAGGGAAGACACTTCTCTCAAGGGGAAAGTGACGTGTATCCAACGCAGCACTAATTTGGATATTATAGAACGTGAACAATAATTTGAAGGCATTTGGCGAGAAATTACTTCTAGGCTCGATGAATAGGAACGATGGATATCAAGTAGAAATATCGATAAAAGCTTCCCCACCCGATTGCTAGAGAGGAGCTGCCGTCGCCGGAACGAGGCGGATTTGATGGATCAACTGGATCTCTGGATCTTCGTAGTTTGTAGTTCGTAGAACGCCACACCCCACGCTCTGGGGCGGGCGAGGATTGCACTAAGTAATACTCCCTCCCATTGGAGTGGTTGTGATGATTTGCATTGATAAACGTATCCTGTAAATGCGACGGCGTCTCTTCTTGTGAATCAATCCACTCACTGCATCAAGTCCTCCACAGGTGACCTGCAAGCCTCACTTGAACGTTGTGTAATAAATACGGCGTCGATTAATGACTTGATTGAAAACAAGTGTCGCATTTCTCCATCGCTGCCAAACAATTTGCTGTTGGTGTTGCCCTCATTTGGCCGACAGCTTCGGCCAATCAAGAGACATTCTCGCTACAGCCCCGACCAACCTCAAGCTTTCGTAATTGCGACCAGCCAGCCCAGCCTTCAATCAGCATCAGCCGACTCCCTTCTACCCTATCTACAACCCATTCTCCCAGCCACCGCGGCTTCTCACAACCTCGAATTGACCCTCACCCTCCTTCTTCTATAATTATTCAGCACCCTCACAGCTTCAGGTCACACACCGGTTCTGTTTACTCGATATCTTCCGCTTCGAAATCGAGGGAGCTTGTCCCGGAAAGCGGAAACGCCATGGCCGAAGATCCCAGTAAGAGCTCCTACTTTCTCGACAATCTACATATTCTTTCAATGGAGACACCTTGTTGTAGCTGGCCACTCGACCAGCAGCTATTGTAGAGCTTGAGATGGGATATTTGTGTCTGCTAAACTCCAGAGACTAACATATCTGCAGCAGCACCGAGCTTGAATCTTACAGCCGAAGAGAAGCGCGTATTCGGCCAGCTATTTCGACAGGCAGATACAGAGGGCCTTGGGGTTGTGACGGGAGAAGTTGCGGTCAAGTTCTTTGAGAAGACAAGGCTTGAGCCACGCATCTTAGGAGAGGTATGCGCCCTTCTATATCAACCGCAACGATCATCACAGCTGGTATGATGGCACAGAAGGCGATTCTAATATCTTCTGTTCTAGATATGGCAAATTGCGGATAAGGAGAACCGGGGCCTACTGACACCAGCGGGTTTTGGAATCGTATTGAGGTTGATTGGACATTACCAAGCAGGACGAGATCCCACCCCTGAGCTAGCACTTCGAGCTGGTCCCCTTCCTAAATTCGATGCCGGCTCTGTCCCCGGAGCAAGTCCAACAACGATTCAACCCCCTCCCGGTCCGCCACCAAGCGCATTACAACCACAGAGAAGCGGCTCCGGACCAATCCGAGTTCCTCCTTTGACGCCAGACAAGGCTGCACAATATGCTTCTCTATTTGAGAAGTCGGGAGCGGTCAATGGACAGCTCCCAGGAGAGCAGGCAAAGCAAATCTTCGAGCGTGCTGGGCTTCCGAATGAAATTTTAGGAAGAATATGGAACTTGGCGGACACTGAACAAAGGGGGTCACTCCAATCCACAGAATTTGTGATAGCCATGCACTTATTGGCCTCTTTCAAATCTGGGGCACTTCGAGGGCTTCCGAATGTGCTTCCTGCCGGTTTATATGAGGCCGCAGCAAGACGCATGCCGAGCCGACAATCCTCGGGCATGGCACCTATCCCAAGGCAGTTCAGCGGTGCACTAGGTGCTCAACGTAGTGGAAGCCCACTTAACCCCGCTGTGTACAATACTCCTCCCCAGTTTCCTCAAAACTCTGGTTCGGGTGGAGCATGGGCTATAACTCCTGGGGATAAGGCCAAGTTTGACAGTATTTACTACCCCCTGGACAAAACCAACAAAGGATATATCACTGGAGATGAAGCCGTACCATTTTTCAGCGAATCCAAGCTTCCCGAAGAGGCTTTGGCACAAATTTGGGATCTTGCAGACATTAACTCAGCGGGTGTTTTGACCAAAGATGAATTTGCAGTGGCTATGTATCTCATCAGACAGCAACGGGGGAAGCGTGATGGACGGGAATCGCTCCCCTCAACATTACCCCCTAATTTGATCCCACCAAGCATGCGACACCAGGTCAGACCAGCTGCAGTTCCCACTGCCCCAGTGTTTGAGGCACCACCCCCGACCTTGCCCAAGTCAGCTGCAGAAGATCTTTTTGGCCTCGATGCACTTTCAGGGCCGGCCCCTGCGCCAACCCAAGCGCCTCTATCTACTGGTGGGTCTGCGTCATTCGGTGTGAGTAACGATCCGTTTGGCAGTAGATCCCCCATAACGCCTAGTTCACCAACCCAGAGCTCTTCACTACAAGCATCTAATATCTTCACACCTTTCGCCCCAACTTCGACATTTGGACAGGCGTTGAGTTACAACAATACTGGTGGGTCCAATAACACAGGTCCATTACAACAAAGAAATGTGCAGCCGCAAAGCTCTGCAGCGGATGACCTACTAGGAGACAATGATCCTGAGATCAGTAGGAAATTGACAAGCGAGACCTCTGAGCTTGCAAATTTGTCAAACCAAGTGGGATCGTTGTCGAAGCAGATGCAAGAGGTGCAAGGTCAGCGAGCGACGTCTCAGAACGAGTTGACTCAAGCGGGTTCCCAGAAGCAGGAATTCGAGCAACGTTTATCGCAGCTTAGAACACTCTACGAGCAAGAAGTGAAGGATGTCAGAAGCTTGAAAGAACGACTCACCGCGTCTCAAAACGAAACCAAGAAGCTACAGACTGAAATTGCTATGATCGAAGGAACCTTCCAAGATCTCCAGAACCAGCACAGACAGACTGTCACGGCACTTGAAGCCGATCAACAAGAAAATGCCAGTCTGAAAGAGCGTATGCGGGTCGTTAACACCGAGATTTCACAATTGAAGCCATCGCTGGAAAAATTGAGATCCGATGCTCGTCAGCAAAAAGGTCTGGTGGCCATTAATAAAAAGCAACTCGCGACTAATGAAGCCGAAAGAGAGAAATTGAAGGCCGAGGCCGAAGAATTGAACAAGAGTATTGAAGAAGACACGAAGACTTTGGCCGCTGCAGCTAAAGTGCAAAGTCAAAGTCCCGTACCAAGTCAGAGTCAGGTTGCAAGTCCAACTCCTTCTACAATAAGCGCCAACAATCCATTCTTTCGCCGTCAAGGAAGCTCATCAGAACTACCAAACTCGCCCTTTACGTCTCCACCCCAGCCGGACAGATCCTTTGAGAACGTTTTCGGTCCCGCTTTTGGTGAGGCCTCCACTGCAAAGGAATCTGCGCCGCCTACAAGTTTCAAGCATGATACAGACATCCGGCCCCCTTCGGGTGCCTCTGGCTCTTTTTCTCACAATCGCACTGGTAGCGGTAATGAATTCTCACCACCATCAAGAACTTCACCTGCAATATCCAATCGAGAGCTCCCCCATGCAAGCCCGCTTCCTCAAACCAGTGTACTCTCCCAAGGTACTGGCTTCCCACCTCCTCCGCCCGAGTCCCGACAAATCAGCTCTAGTTTCCTACCGTTCCCAGAGCATAGCGACTCTGTCACCTCGTCTCAACAAGTCTCAGCGCCTAACAGCAGATTTGGGGAAGATTCTACAGGTGCCGAGACGCCTACGAATTACATGGGCACGACCCCAACCGGTTCATCTAGTGCAGGCCCAGCTGAGCATGTAAGAGCAGTATCTCCAGGTCTTGATCGTCATTCTACTGCTTCCCCTGCAACAAGCCCGACCAAGGACTCCATGCCAGGCGCCTTCCCCGGAGACTCAAACTCCTCTCACATTGTTGCAACCCCAACTGGAGGGAGCACATTGAGTGAGCAGGCTGCGGCTGATCCATTTGGTCTTCCTAAAGAGCCGGTCCGCTCTGGAACTGCAAAAGATGATTTCGATTCTGCTTTTGCTGGTTTTGGCACTACTCCCAAACCCCAGGAGCGATCCAATACTGGTTCCTCTGCAGCTGGTTCGGTTGCCGCAGCTCCGACTGTCTTCAACAAAGAGTTCCCGCCTATTGCTGAATTAGAGCATGACGATGATAGTGATAGTGCCAGTGAACGTGGAGGTTTTGATGATGATTTTGCCCCAGCATCCCCAGCGCACACTAGAAACCAAAGCTCTGGACAACAGCCAACTACACAAGTGGCCCCATCTGGTGATGCGACGAATGATTTACTTTCAGCAAGACCAGCTGCAATTCATTCCCTAACAAGCGAAAGTCTGGCCACTACAAATCCTCCAACTCCTGGAGCACAAGCCCCTCCACCGGTCTACGACAGAGTTGTCTCTTCCGGAGACCAAGCCCAGACAGAGGCACAACAATATATAGGCCTCCTCCCATCTCGCGAAATCCCAACCTCACCCCCCAACATCTCCGCCGAGCCCGCAAGTTCCACAACAACCAGCCAGACACCATTCAGTGCTCCCCAAGTATCCGCGCAGCCCGCCCCTCCCGCCAAAGTACCATTCGACGATGACTTTGACGAGTTTGATGATCTCGAAGATGCAAAGGAAGGCGACGCCGACGACGACTTCGCCAATATCTCCGCTCTCGACCGTTCCGGGCTCGACGACTTTAACCCAGTCTTCGATAGCCCCCCAACATCAAAAGGCGGCGACTCCATTTCCCCGCACACCAAAAACGCTTTCGGAGGCAACGACGCCGCATTTGGGGACTTCACGCAATCGCCTCAATCTACGCAGCCTGCTCCCAACGCAAATGCAGTGACAAACGATAATCATGACTGGGATGCGATTTTTGCGGGTCTGGATGGGCCCTCGGCTGCTGCTGCTGAACCAGCACCACCAGCTTCTGTTCCGACTTCAAGCTTAGATGCACCGAAGCCGAATGGCAATAGTGCTAGACCTGCGAGGCCGGAGATTGGAAGGGCGCTGACGGAGGCGGGCGTGCATGATGACCCGATTCTGAAGAATTTGACGGGCATGGGTTATCCGCGTAAAGAAGCGCTGGCGGCGCTGGAAAAGTATGATTATAATTTGGAAAGGGTGAGTTGATTTCTGCTTGATTTCATTCGAGGAAAGATCTGGAGGCTGACTCTGTTAGGCTGCGAATTACCTTGCTAGTCAGTCATAATACCCGTTGATGATGGAGATGAAAGTGGAGAAGAAGGAAAGGGTGGGTGGCTTGGATGAGAATGAGAATGTGCATAGTTTAATGTCAGTCGATATTGTATTCTACGACAGCAGCGTTATATTCAGTCTGCTTAATGAATATTTGCTGGCCTTTTGAGGAGGTGTATTTGAGCGGAACACTCCATGAACTTGCACTTGACATGAAAACCGAGCACTTCAAAACGCTCACCGAGTTATTTGTTTTTCACTGCGGCCAGTACAGGTGCCGATTGGCTTCTACTGCACTAGCTCTGCAGTCCTCATTTGATAGCCATTATTACTTAGCATTGTCTAAACCCATCCATCCTGTGCCATCGAAGTGATGGAGCCTTGAACCTCTTCGAAAGAGTAAGGCAGTAAGTGCTGGCAAGTTTCCTGGCTATATAGAGATGCTAGAATCCTCACTCCTATGAGATAATCTCTATCTTAAACCCTCAGGTGACAGTCAGTACTGCAATGGATCTTCCAAGCATCATCGCTCCAAGTACAACCCCAATAAGAACGTTGAATCTCAGCAACAGGGATCATGCACTCATTATATCTTTCATCGGTGGTATTCTCAACCTCCGAACCGAGCTCCAGCCAAATTCCAAATTCTTCTTGCAGAGTTAGATAACTTTAACTGTTTGAAAGAGATCTCCTGCAATCTCTGTAAGGTGGTGATGCTGCATATCTCGGACTACCTCATTCAATCTTCGCGAGATGCTACACAATACAGCAGAGCTTTGAAGGACATTCAGCATTCCATGCGGCAGTCAGAGTTTATACAGGACGAATAAAGGCGCCGCGATGGTGTGGCTCGTTGGGAGCTTGGACAACACAACACGATGCTGGAAACAGCCACATAGGTAGTTCGCAAGCTTTCTGGTAGTAACAACTAGCTGAGGATGCACCGCAAAATGTGTCGTTATCACCACCACCAATTTTAGCCACGAGGAAACCAGCGCTGTAGACTTGAGTAGCGCACAATTCTAGTTCCGGCATGAGATCTAATTGCATTTCCAGAGGCATTAGATCCCGTGTATCTTTCCTCCAACACGCTTTCGAAACCCTCAGCCCCCCTTCTGCACCCCACCGCTTCAATCGGGGAAAAGGAAAAGGTGAGGGTCGATGATTGTGTATTGTGTTGCTGAGCATGTTGCTTTGAGGGCGATCGGGGGGGTTGGTGAGGTGAGGCTGCAGAGTGCTACTAGACAGTCTAGAGATGGATGTTGTGGGATTGAGATGAGAGGTGGGGAGAGCGGGTTAGATTGGCTTTCCGCGCTTTCAGTTTAAGAGTTCGGCAGGTGAAGATGATGGATGGATCTAAGAGAACTAGAAATTAGATAAGAAAGCAGAAGCTTGGGGGATTCTGCTGAAGAGTAAGTAGTAAGACTTTGTTTTGGAAGGAGGTGGAAAGAGTAGTTAATGGTAGGTAGGTATGATGGAAAGAGAATAATTCAACGTTAACGATACAAGTCCTACAAACGAACGCATCTAAGACCTCAAGTAATGCAATAAGAATTACGTACTTAAACTAAAGCTTAGGTATTGAGATGTCCATAAAGAGTGTTCCACTCGTGAGGTGTTCATCGTCCATGAATAATAAATAGACAGACATGTGTTTCAATAAAAAATCTGCAAGCAAAACTTAATAAAGCTAGCATTTCCCAAATCCTTTCCTAATACTCGTAAAAGTACCTCGTTAAATCCCAATTAGGAGCCTCACTCGCTCGCGAATTGTATACCAAAACAATCTAAGCACGGCTTCCCTTCGTTCCTTCCTCCATCTATTCTTAGCCACCACACACACACCAACACCTCTCAGCTCCCCCCACCACCACTACCAGAATAACGGTACGATCAATCAATCAATTCATCTTACATTGAATATGTTTTTGTTGCACGTCGCAGTCACAAATTTAAATATAGAATTGTACTTGCATGCTGCATGTTTTGTTTATTATTACTTGCTTCACGTACTGTTACGCTGGCTGGCAGCCGCCACTGGTGGACCAAGCCTCGTACTTCTTACGCGTAGCTGAAGCGGGCGGTATTGAAACCAACTGTTGCACTTCGCACTTGTGGTAAATATAGAACGCCTGGGATACATAAATTTCATAAATACGGAATACACATACGCCAAAATGTATAAAGGGATTGTCCTGCCCACTACGACTGAAAAGTACATGATCACTTTCACAAAAACTTAATGCTCCAGACATTGACTATGGACGTCGTTGACTGACTATTGATTGCCTGAATTACAAGGAACGTATTGCGAACCATTCTTTTGAAGAAAGAAAACGGCTAGCGCAACTGAAAAGAGAATAAGGACAAGACGACTGCTATCAACCTGAGCTCCAGCACTCCGAAAAGAAGCATCGCATCGCTATTGTAGTATCCATCTTGCCCAAAACAACTGCCAAATCTGCCCTCGAGTATGTAATTCTACACGAGATAAACATGCAAAGCTAGCTAAGCAAGAGTTCAGTACTCAGCCTCGGCACCCTCATCACCCTCCATGGAATCCGTAGCAACTTCCTCATAATCGCGCTCAAGTGCGGCAAGATCCTCACGAGCCTCAGAGAATTCACCTTCCTCCATACCCTCACCGACATACCAATGTACGAAGGCACGCTTGGAGTACATGAGATCAAACTTGTGAGATAGAGCGGACCAGGCCTCGGCGATGGCGGTGGTGTTGGAAAGCATACAGACGGCACGGTTGACCTTGGCAAGATCACCGTTGGGGACCATCTGAGGAGGCTGGAAGCAAATACCAATCTTGAAACCTGTTGGGCACCAGTCGACGAATTGGATAGTGCGCTTCGTCTTGAGAGTGGCGACAGCAGCGTGAACATCCTTGGGGACAACATCACCGCGGTACAGGAGGCAAGTTGCCATGTACTTTCCGTTTCGAGGATCACACTTCACCATCTGGTTGTTTGGCTCGAAACATGACATGGAGATCTCCTGGACAGAGTTTGCCTCGTGGGATGCCTTGGCGGCGGAAACAACTGGGGAGTAGGCGACCAGAGGGAAATGGATACGTGGGTATGGCACCAAGTTGGTTTGGAACTCGTTCAAATCAACGTTGAGGGATCCGTCGAAACGGAGAGAAGCGGTGATGGAAGAGACAACTAGACGATGTTAGGAGGGGTTTATAGATATAGGGACGCTAAATACCTTGAGCAATCAGACGGTTCAAGTTCTCGTAGTTGGGGCGCTCAAGACCAAGGTTTCTGCGGCAGATGTCGTAGATAGCCTCGTTGTCGACCATGAAAGAACAGTCGGAGTGCTCGAGGGTGGTGTGTGTTGTAAGAATCGAGTTGTATGGTTCAACAACCGAGGTGGCAGTTTGAGGCGCTGGGTAAACACAGAACTCAAGCTTGACCTTCTTGCCGAAGTCGACTGACAGACGCTCCATAAGAAGAGCACCGAAACCAGAACCAGTTCCACCACCGAAGGAGTGGAAGACGAGGAAACCTTGAAGACCAGAGCAGTTGTCCGCGACTTGGCGAATCTTGTTCAGGACCTGGTCAATCAACTCCTTTCCGACAGTGTAGTGACCACGAGCGTAGTTGTTGCTGGCATCCTCCTTTCCAGTGATCATTTGCTCGGGATGGAACAAGCTGCGGTATGTACCTGTTCGGACCTCGTCGACTACATTGGGCTCGAGATCACAGTAAATGGTTCGGGGGACATATTTGCCTTGTCCTGTGACGCGATTACATGTCAGTTATTGTTTGTAGGGTGATGTATGTGAAGGTATTTACCAGTCTCGGAGAAGAAAGTGCTGAAACCCTCATCCGGATCGGCGGCTTTGCGCTCCTCAGTCAAGTATCCATCAGGCTGTAGGGGAATAACGCGTTAGTAACTATGCGTAGTCGATAGGGGATATCTTTAGACTCGGAGATGAGGAATTAGACGTACCTGAATGCCATGCTCAAGGCAATAAAGCTATAGTAAAAAAAAAAAAACCGTTAGTCACGCCAGAACGACCCCTATGTCAACAAAGCAACGGGAGAGATGTTGCTCTGCTGTCGAAGTTGAAGCTCACCTCCCAGCAAGAGTTTGCAATCTGGCAACCAGCCTGACCGACTATATGGACACGATAAAGTTAGCAATGTCGATTTGTTGAGATTATAGGACGTGTTGGACAGGCGGTGTACTGGCGCGTCGAGAAAAAGGAGAATATAAACATACCATTGATGGAGATGACTTCTCTCATGGTGACGGACTGTAGATTATAGAGAGTTGAGGATGTAGAGGAGAGAACAAGATATCTGCGAAAGGTCTTGAAGGTGGTTGTAGAGGGACGGTAGGTGGTCTTGAGGTGCAAGTGGAAGGTTGATAGTGGGGAAGGAGGGATTATTGATTGAGACCTATATTTCGCTTGTGGATAGCACCCGAGCGTCGTTATTCGTGTTCGCGCCTGCACCCGCTAGCTGCCGCATCAACAGACGTGAAGGCCGCTAGTACTTCTTTGGGATAGGGGTCCAAGCTTCCTTCTTCAATTGCTATCTGGCTTGGAGGTTGTAAGAAACACAACATTTATGAAAGATATCAATAGACAGGATGCATTCCCCAGTCATGTGGCACTTTCTTCCGCTTCTTCTGCAAGTCTGTACTGTTTTTGCAAATACCGAAAAAGTCATCTTCCTTGGCCCAAGCAGCCTGCAAGTTCCAGTTGAGCATCCAACTCTCGAGGACTTAGATTTGGAACCTCTCTCACCCCAGCATTGGACCTTGAGAACGCATATCCGCGCAGAATTTCCTACTGACAGTTTAAAACATGGACAAGCGTCCTGGTATCTGCTGCATAGACTTGAGGAAGGCAGACGATACGAAGTCAGGATCTGCTGGGCTGCAACTGTAAGTACCAGTGCCCAAGTGTCACCTCATAGCTTATTTTTGTGTAGCAACCAACGTCCTTTCGTCTCGAGACATACGATTTACCTACAGTTTTCGAAAATCCCGAATTGATTACTTCCCTTGCACAATACTCGGAAGGGCGACAGTCTGAACCAACTCAAATTGCAGATGAGAAACCCAGCATCTCTCGAAAACCTACAGCAGAGCGTGATGCTAACGACCTCTCTTCAACCCTGTTTCTGCAGGTATTTGCAGCTGCAGATTACTACACTACGAACAAGACTATCATGAACAATGTGCCCCCAGTCTTTGTTGATATTATCCTGGACCCATTTATCTTCAATGTGTTTCCTCGATCGCTGCTTCCTACAGCTGCTTATATTGTCCTGCTTGCAATTGGAGGCTGGTATTTGTCCAAATATGTTGGTAGTTGGTTCGAGAACTTGGCGAAACAAGATGCAAATGAAGAGAAAAAGAAGATATAGGTCTCAAAACCTTTCTTCTCTATTCCGAGTTGCTTCGTCACATCACCGTGCTGTCTCGACAGCTCCTGTGTGTGGTAACCCGCGCTGTTTATTCAAAGATGGGAACACTTGATAAACGAAGCCTCAGAGCAGCTAAAAAGGCAACTTCGTAAATTACAAGAAGATGTCTATGTCATACTAGTAGGATGAGAGCGCAAAGATCCAACAGCAAATGCATTTCCATATTCAAGGCACACCTTTGCCTTCCCTCGTGGCCTTTGCCAATTCAGACATTGCGACATCATCAGCATATCGCTGATAAATCGGCAAATAATGTTGCCGCTCACTCGTTGAGTTGACGATACTGTCCCTGTTCTCTACCGCTTTCTGCCACTTTTCGAACCTTTGGGACCAAGCCTCTTCTTTTGGCAATTTGATGCCTCCTTTGAAATGGTCAAAGACCCAAAGTCGCACCACCCACGGGGCAATGACCAAGTCAATGAGACTCAGATCTCTCCCTAGAAAATAAGGACCTTCAGGATCCATCTCTTGTGTGAATTGCTTTAACTGCTCGACGAATTCCAGGCGGAATTTCTCAAGACCAGTATCAGAAGCAGACTTGGGCTGGTATTGCAGAAAGCGATGAAAAGCAGGGATGATACGTGAAGTAACAAAATCAGCCCATATCTTCATCCGGGCTTTGGTGTATGGATCAGAGGGGACCAGCTTGGGAGTAGCCGAAGGATATGCCTCTTCAAGAAACTCGCAAACCACGGTACTTTCGTACAATGGTTTGTCATCATATTGAAGAGTCGGAACTAGTCCACGAGGGTTCAAATCGAGGAGAGACTTCGGTTTATGGTACGGGTTCACCTAGTTTGTTGGTCAGTATACGTCGAAGGCGTTTGGACTGGCGACGCACTTCGATGTATTGGAAGGGAATGTTCTTCTCCAAAAGTACCAGGAGAACTCGTTGAACGAATGGACAGAACTAGTGCTGACTTAGAGAACTATTGTGAGAGAGGAAGGGGTTGGAGATACCCATCCCGAATACAGTTTCAGTGGCTCCTCTTCTTGGTGAGCTTTCACCATAGCTGCGGCCGCCCCGGTGGCATTAGGGAAGAGTTGCGCATCTGGATGATCACCGGCCATGTTGAGTAAACGAACAGTGTAACAATACAATAAAGTCAATGAGAAGAAGACTAGTCCTGGAGAATATCTTGAGATACAAGTTTTGAAATATATTGATTCTCAAAGATCCTATTACCTACTATACCTAGGGTAGCTCCCGCAGTGACGCCATTTACGAGTTGATCGGGGTGGGGCATATCTATGGCTCCTTCACATCTCAAGCTTCACTTGCGCTTGAGACGGCTATCACTCAACTACCCCACTCTGCGGAACCAAAAATAATAATAAAACTCGAACTTATAGCTAAAGTAGGCAACAAGTCATCTCGCGTGCAATACCCGTAGTGATGGCAAAGTCATTATCCCTACGCAGCTGAATACAGTCAGGTGTGGCTGATTATCGAGGGGCAAGCACAGCCTCTCTCCACGCACCGTATAGACGGACGTTCGCAACTTTCTTTGCGGCCCAACCCACACATAAAGGCATCCCTCCTTCACAATCATCTCTGTCTCTCCTCCCCTCCCTCCTCCTCCTTTCTCGAAACCGCAAGAATCGGGTTGTTACGCGCAAAACAACCATGACCGGTCCATCAACGTGCGCCCATCCCCCACTATCTCTCTATTCATATCGCGCCAAGCTAACAAGAAATCTGATTACAGACCCGGCCAAGAAGGCCCCTCGTATGGCCCACCCCCTCTCCCCGAAGGTTGGATCGCGCAATGGGATGGCATGTCCAAGAAATACTACTTCGTGCAACTCTCCACCGGCGCTTCGCAATGGGATACCCCAACACACGCTGCGCCTACAGGTCCCACGCCCCAAGCTACTCCGCAAGGAGGACTGGAACATCCGTATGGAACGCCTAGTGAGGGTCCGCAAGACTTGAATATCATCCAGAATCCAGATGGCTCGCAGAGTATTAAGCATGCGGACGGGACGGTGGAGCCATATTCGGGGGATAGGAGTCTGACGGTACGTTTCTGCTTTGTTGGTTGGGGGTTCGGGCTGCTGACAGAATGTAGTCTTTTGCCATGAACCAGTTGATGGGTGGAGGAAAGAAGCAGAAGCAGAGCCAAGGTGGGCTGGGAGGACTTGCCAGCTCGTTTCTTGGGGGCGGGTCGTCTGGGGGAAGTGGTGGTTCCAGTGGAGGCGCGGGGGGCATTGTGGGTGCTTTGGCTGGAAGCTTACTTGGAGGTGGGAAGAAGCCGAATAATTCTCAGCAATCTGGGAACTATTCTGGTGCGCAGCAACAGCAGCATGGCGGTGGGGCGAGTGGATTCATGGGGAATATCGGGGGAATGTTTGGTGGACATCATGGTCAAGTATGTTGAAATCCTGCTCTATAGCCAGAGTATATACTAATGCCGCTGATAGCAGCAGCAAGGAGGAAGCAACGAGTATGGTTATTCTCAGCACGGAGCTGGTCAACAAGGAGGTTACTCCGGCTCCGCACCTCCAAGTTCCTACCAACCTAGCGGAGCTTCCCACACATCCTACAACACACCCCCTCAATCACAGCACGGCCAACCACAACACCACGACTCCCAACCATCATACGGCGGCCAAAACCCCTCCTATGGTGCCCCCGCACAGCCATCCTATGGAGGAGCCCCCCAACACCAGCAATCCTCAAGCTACGGCGGTTCCCCACCACCAGGCCAGCCCCCTTACGGCGGAATCCAACACCAAGATTCCTACGGCTCCTCCACCCGCCATCCCACCAGCAACAGCATCAACAATACCAACCCCAAGGCCAAGGAAAACCCGGTCAATACGCATCCCCACCACACCAACCAGGCCACGGGCAATATCCCCCACCTCCAGGCCAGCAACAGCAATATCCACCCCCACCAGGTCAATACCCCGGCCCCCCTCCCAAACCGGCCCCTCAGCAGCCTACGCCCCTCCTCCCCCATCCTACGGCCAACCACCACAGCATTCCGGAAACCTAAATCAACCGCACCATAGCCATTTCCAGGGCATGCATCATGCGGAGCATGCGGGCGGTTTATATGGGAATAGTCCGCAGCCAGGTGCAGGTGGAGGTGGAGGGCCGCCGCTCAATATGGGCAGTCATCCTGGGCATGGACAGGGACAGGTTCCGCAATATGGTGAGCAACAGGGACAGTATGGTGGACAGCCACAGCAGCAGGGACAGCAGCGGTGGTAGTGGATGATTTGTAATTGTGGGCGTGGGCGTGGGCATAGGCATGGGTGGTATTTTATGAAAAATTCCTTTGGTTTTTACGATGTATTTGGAATGCAGTGGATTGTTTTCATTTAGAAGGAATGGAAATTCCAGATATATTATGGTCATAATTTCGTGATGGCATTTTTTCATTCTTGACTCTTTGCTTTCCCGTCTCAATTAACCCCTTTCCACCAAACTAACAAGCGAAAAGCCAAGCTATTCCCCTAATACCTGCCTACCTGCTTAGGCTAGGTAAGGTAGGTATTCTTCCCTAATTTCCCCTGATTACTCATTGCCTATCCATCATCATTAAAACCACAATTAGTATCAATTAATCACTGCTTCTCCTTGAAATAATTCCCTCCAACGACCACTAACCCTTCCGTCTTCGCCCAATCTCTAACACCATGGCCTTCCTTACCGGTTCCCCAGTGTTGGCGTGTTTCTGGGAGGGTGAGATTTGTGTTGGGGCCTTCGAGGAGGATGAAGACGTAGCGGTGGTAGCCTGTTCTTGGGGGTGGGCCTGGTGCTTTGTCTGTTGATTTCATGCAAGGGTTAGGAGGATTTCATTGATATCTTATAGTTAGGTAGGGGAATGAGATGGAATGGAACGGGAAGAAAGGCTAGTCTTACATTTGACTAAATCCTCGACTTTTGTGGTATCGATATCAAATTCGAATCTCGAGGCAAAATCTGATTCAAGGAGTCTCACGGCTTCGGAGACTGGTGCGATCCAATGACACATTTCACTGTAGGTAAATAAAGTCAGCGATTATTCTTTCAAGAGTTTCGTTAATTCAAGTAAAGTAGAAACTTCGAAAGCACGTCCGGACCGGATAAGGAGGGCTTTACTTCCTAATAACCTACCTCCATTTCGGAAATCCCCTCGACGGCGCATCCGGATCCGTAAGTGCAATTGTCAGGCCGGTCGTAGACTTCATGTCCGGACAATACACCTTGAGAGAAGGCTTTTCCTTGGTCTTGGATACTTTGAGCTTCTTGCCTGGGAAAATGGGCTGTGAATGTTTGCCGTGGCCGTAGGTGGGGAGAATGAAGCATTTTGGGTGGAAGTCATCGACTATGTCGGGGATGATGGAGGCTTTCTTCAAGCTATATAGTGTGTAAGTAACGTGAGTTGAAGTTCGGTGGGAGTGGAAGTGACTTACGCATGTCTGACTCGGTCGAGCTGGTCGTTCTTGGAGCTGGTGATGGGTTCTGTAGAGGGGTTGAGGATTATTTGGTCTGTGGGAATGGCAAGACTGGGGGTAAGTATGGGAGCGACCAAAAAAAGGATGCTTGGGAGGGTTGTCAATTGCATTCTGTAATGGAATTGGAATTGGAATTGAAATGCTGGGGAGCTTTTTGAGGTAAATCTGGCTGTTTGGCAGAAGATACGTTATAGTGGACTTTATCTTATGAACTTGAGATTTAGAAGAGTAATTTTGACTTATTGATGCTGTCGCTTCCTTCCCCGCATAATTTCTAACATACGTCACGGAGGCATCTCATTGGCTCATACCAGGAGGCCCACGTGATTTCAGAATGGACTTGGACTTCTATCAAATTGATAATCTCCAGAATTGCCCAGGTTGACATTAATAAATGCCCAAATATTGGAGCCAGTCTGTTGATATAGCCAGGATTGGGTAACAAGACGGTATGGCAGCAAGATAGGGGTAATGTATCAAAGCCAAGTCAAGACACATACATTCGCAAACTACACAATAGTAACTAGCAACAAGACATGGAAAGGCTTGGAAACGTGGTCTAGTCTGAGAACTCAAAGCCGTAAAGTAGATATTATAAGGAGAGATCAATTTCTTTAATACGCCCTCTAGATAGATAACTAGAAAGTGTCCCGGTACTGTCCTGGTGACTGCTTGGAATAAATGCTGGGACACCATGTGCGTTGTTGTTATCACATTAAGCTTCCCGAGGAATCCAGGGGCTTAGAATAGATACTAGAATGCCTCAGATAAAAGGAATCCGTTGAAGTGTGCAAGGAAAAAGAGATACCTTCTTCACATGGAGTATAGTACCAATGAATCGAGGTTTTAATCCACTTTGACTTTCGAACTTTCTAGTGAAAGAGTTTGTTGTCACTGAGATACAGCACATAGCCGTCATCCGCCACAAGTGGCTAAGCCTGGTCGGGCCTGGCATCCGAGCGACACCATCGCATAACTACAAATCTTGGAAGTAAATAACTGCATTATCAACAAAACCCACCACATCCAGTGTCCCACGCAACAAAACGTGCCTCTTGGGATCCTCCCGAATACCCATTCAGTGGCACCTTGACGCGCCGGTCTCTCATTTTGTCGTCGAGCTCGTTCCGAATTCCCAACGCGACGCATCAACTCGCCTGAAATCTCCCTCTCTAGCCGGCTTTACAATCTCCATCATCAACACCATGGCAGCTCTCGGTGAGGACTTGCTGGGGATAGTCAACAAGCTGCAGGATCTAGTCTTCAATACTATCGGCAATGACAGTCTAGATCTCCCTCAGATCGTACGGAACACTCCCCGTTTTTACATTAGACTCTACTAACTCTTGCCCCTCAAGGTCGTTGTAGGTTCCCAATCCTCGGGCAAGTCTTCAGTCCTCGAAAACATCGTCGGTCGAGATTTCCTTCCCCGTGGTAGCGGGATCGTCACTCGAAGACCCCTCATTCTCCAGCTCATCAATGTCCCAAGCGATGAAGATGGCCCAGAAGCACATACAGCAGATGCTGTTGCAACACAACCAGAATGGGCGGAGTTCCACCACATACCTAATCGAAGATTCACAGAATTTCAAGATGTCAAGCGGGAAATAGAGAACGAGACAGCCCGGATTGCTGGTAATAACAAGGGTATCAATCGGTCACCTATAAATCTCAAAATATACTCTCCACATGTCCTGAGCTTGACATTGGTGGATCTGCCTGGGTTGACAAAAGTAAGAAATTCCAAATATGCTGTGAAGCTGAAGAGTCAATAGCTGATCTCAAATCTCACAGGTTCCAATTGGAGATCAACCAACCGATATCGAAAAGCAGACTCGAAACCTCATCTCGGAATATATTGCCAAGCCAAACAGTATCATACTGGCTGTCTCACCTGCGAACGTCGATATTGTAAACTCTGAGGCCTTGAAACTCGCCCGCCATGTGGATCCCCTGGGCAGGAGGACGATTGGAGTCCTGACGAAAATTGATCTTATGGACCATGGAACGAACGCTCTTGATATTCTCTCAGGGCGGGTATACCCCTTGAAGCTGGGGTTTATAGGAGTTGTCAACCGCTCACAGCAAGACATCCAGGGAAATAAGTCTCTTGCAGAAGCATTGAAGTCGGAGGCGGACTTCTTCAAACACCACCCAGCGTACAGGAATATGGCCAACAGATGCGGGACTCAATTTTTGGCCAAGAGCTTGAATCAGACGTTAATGGCCCACATCAGAGAGAGGCTGCCAGATATCAAAGCCCGGTTGAACACATTGATGGGACAAACGCAACAAGAACTCGCCAGCTACGGAGACATGCATTTCAGTGGGAAGGAACACAGAGGGTCTCTAGTTTTACAACTAATGACTCGATTTGCCTCTTCCTTTATATCATCAATAGATGGTACATCAACAGAGATATCCACAAAGGAACTCTGTGGAGGTGCCAGGATCTACTACATCTTTAACTCGGTGTTCGGAAACTCCCTAGAAACAATAGACCCCACCACAAATCTATCCGCTCTCGATATTAGAACAGCAATTCGAAATTCCACTGGACCGCGACCCAGTCTTTTCGTCCCGGAGCTTGCCTTTGATCTTCTGGTCAAACCCCAAATCAAGCTTCTGGAGGTCCCCAGTCAAAGGTGTGTGGAGCTCGTCTATGAGGAATTGATCAAGATATGTCATACATGTGGATCCACAGAATTGTCAAGATTCCCTCGGCTACAAGCCAAGCTTATCGAGGTTGTCTCAGACCTCCTCCGTGAACGTCTCGGACCTGCCTCCAATTACGTGGAGTCTCTGATCTCTATACAGCGAGCATACATCAATACCAACCACCCTAATTTCCTTGGTGCAGCAGCTGCTATGAGCAACGTCGTCTCGAACAAGCAGGACAAAGAGAGGAAAAGGCTTTTGCAAGAGGAACGTGAGAGGCGAGAACGGAAAAAGCATAAGGAGCTTGGCACCAATGGTGTTGATACTCCAGAGGATGAGGAAGAAGGCGCGGAGAGACAGATTGAAAATCTTCCTCAGCGAAAACAACTTCACAAGGGCGCTCGGAGTATGTCACCAGCAATACGCGAGAATGGCGTTTCAGGGCTTGCTGCAACTATGAATGGAGTCAGATCTGGCTCGCCACCAAGGTTCAATGGCCAGGCAGCTGGTGGGGCTCGAGATTCATTCTTGAACTACTTCTTTGGCAAGGATGGAGGCTTGCCTGCTGGTGGAGCTGGTGGATCTGGCACAGGACAGAGCAACCAAAGTTCTAACTTAGGCCGGCATGTCAGTCAAAGCACAGAGCCTAGTTTCAGTCAAAGCATCAGAAGGCAGGAGGAGCGCGTACATAGAACTCCTGCTCAGCAGTCACGAGAAGATGACTATGAGCTTGGAAGAGCTCAGAGGGATTATGATTACAATTCTCCATTCGTAAGATCTCCATCTTTCATGTATGAGTCCTGCTAACAAGTTGTAGGGCAACAATAACGAGCCAGCCCTCACAGATCGCGAGGCAATGGAGACAGAATTGATTCGCGCACTGATCTCATCATACTTCAACATCGTCCGAGAATCGATCGCAGACCAAGTCCCCAAAGCGGTCATGCACTTACTCGTCAACCACTCCAAAGACGTTGTCCAGAACCGATTAGTCAGCGAGCTATACAAGGAAACCCTCTTTGAAGAGCTCCTATACGAAGACGACGCTGTGAAGAAAGAGCGCGAGAAGTGCGAAAAACTTCTCAAGACGTACAGAGAAGCGGCTACAATCGTTGGCGAGGTCGGCATATAATTAGCAGATCGGAATCGGAAGGTTGTTTGAGTAGTTGGTTACAAAAGGCGCTCACACGCGAGGATGACGGGATGATGGGCTTTGTAGAATACTTGTACCAGGTGTTGTTTTTCCGCTTTTCAGGTTGGGAACTGTACTTTTTCAAACTCGACTACTCTACTACATTGGGCTGGGTTCATGAAGGCCCGGATTTGGAGACGATTATGTTTATACAGCAGAAGAAAACCAGACTCACTCTTAAAGGCCAGCCAGACCTGGGCGTCTTCTGGATCATGTGACATATGGGGCAAGACAAGTTTTGCCTCTTATTGCTGACATATCCATATCCTTAAAGGCATCTGGTTCACCTTAAACTTTGATAATCACGGAGCAGAAAAGCATGCCGACCCCAAGTTGAGCGCTAATTGGCAATGTGCTTTTTCTCCTTCTGGTTCATACAACATACTCCGTAAAATGGGCCAAGCGGTTCGCCATATGGTCCGTGCCCTACCTTGCCGAAGATGGAGATCAGTACATTAGCTCCAACTTTATATTTCCTCTCGTCCAGCTCTAGCTCTAGTCTGAATCTTAAGGTACCTTATTATATAATTAGGGTAAATTCTTACTCTGTACGTTGCTCTTCATCGTAGAAGCCATGGGCAAGCAATAAGTCCCATAGCTGTCGTCTTGGCTTCTTTTTGCCATAATTTCAAAGGCGTCTAATTACCGAGTAACACCTGTCAGCCTCATACAGTAATCAGCTTGCATACCGTACCTAGAAGCCAAGACATGGCGTTTCATGAGAAGCATTTTGGATTTTTGCTTGCACGGCTCTACATATGATAAAGAGGCATTCTATCCCTCTGATCAATCTTCATATGCAGCTCCCAGGTCCTATTCCAGTCTTACCCCCCTAAACAACCCCTGCATCTAAAATATATCCGCAATGTCCACAACCACAACCACAACCCCCACCACAACAATAAGCACCAGTCGTCACCACCACCACCGTGGCCACCGCCTACGCAACTTCCTCCTACCCAACGGCCGGGAAGTCCACATAGCGCTCTCACCCGAGGAAGCAGCATCTCTCAAGCAGCGCCTCTCCGCCGTCCGCAATGGCGAGCCTTTTGACCTCCTGCTCTCGGGGTCGCCAGAGCACTTGGAGGCACTGCGGCAGGCACATACGCATAATAAGTCCCGGAGAGAGATGCTGAGGGAGAGGCATGGGAGTGCGTATGATGAATTTGAGAGTGTGAGGAGTGAGCTTGATGCGTTGGGGAGTGAGTTGCATATGTTGACTGATCATGCTGTTAGCTTGGATGCGAATTTTAGTAAGGTGGGTTGATGAAATCTGCCTTTGTTTGAGAGCCGAGCTTTGAGTTTACATCTTGGAAACTATTTTAAGAGCTCGGGTTCATTACTTGAACACCACTACCGTACTAACTTGCTTCCAGTATGGGTACAGTGCCCATTTGAGAACGTATGATGATACGAGTGGGGGGCCCAGTGAGACGAGCAGTGTTAGTGGGTGGCATGGGGGTGATGAGCATGAGAAGAAGGATTGGGAGAAGGAGAGGAGGAATGGGAGGATTATGAAAGTTTATAAGAAAGTAAGTTTAATTTCTTTTTGTATGAGTAAGACATTATACTGATTGCGTGGATAGCCAACTGTGAGGCAGTATTTCCATAAAGGTCTCTTGTGGCGAGCTTCGGAAAATACTGATGTCGCTTCGTTTGAGCTTTTCGTGGACTTGCTTTATGTTGGCATTATTGCTATTAATGGCGATCATGCTGCTGAGGGCCCAACTGGTTATGAGCTTCTACGCTTCACCATCACTTTTATGATGAGTTGGAAGATTTGGAGTGATCTTGCGACTATTATTAGTTGGTTTGAGACGGATGATATTATGCAGCGGCTATTTGTACTGTTTGTTATGTCTTGTCTTCTTGGGTAAGCTCTCCCCGAATTATCTCATTACATCTGGCCAAAATCTTTCTCTCGTACCGCTTCTGTAATTACTTGATTGGCAACTAACACTCCCTAGCCTGACAACAAATATGCTTGACTTCTTCGACCACACATACTCGCAACTCATCTCCTTCTATCTCGCTGCGCGCCTCTTCATGGCGAGTTACTTTTTCTTCCTCTCCTTCATAATTCCCATGGTCCGCGGCATGATGTACCTAAACGCCGTCATGACAGTGATCCCAGCCACCCTCTGGATAGCCAGCGTCCACATCTCCATGCCCCTGCGCCTAGCCCCCATCTGGATCGCGCTAGCCCTCGATCTCGTCGGCGTCATATCCGTATACCTGCTCATAAAAAGCAAACAAGCCTTTCCTCGATCCGCGGAAGAATGGATCGACCGCGCATTCGAATTCATCCCCGCTCTTAACATCGAGCATAAAGTAGAGCGGACAAACGCGTTCGTGACCCTCGTTTTCGGGTATAGTGTCGTGGCGGTTATCTATCAGAGCGCGGCGCCTTTCGGCTTGAATGCTTACTATGGGAAGGCGGCGCTGGGGTTGATCCAGGCGTTTTGCTTCAATTGGATCTATTTCGAGCTTGATGGCGCAGATTTGTTTGCGCATGCTATTAGGCGCTCTGCTAGTGCTTGTAAGATATCTATTCTATTCTATCCCCCTGACTGACTACCTTATCCTTCTTCCAGTGTTGTGATTGTACGGAGTATATGTGCTGACGAGACAATTAAGCAATGGTTTGGAATACCATACACCTCCCTTTCATCATGTCCTTCGTGCTCGGCGCGGCTGCACTCTCTAAGCTCGTCATTGCGCACGATTGTCAGGATACGGAAGTGGATTATCTGACTGAGACCTACATGGCGAAATCAGATGATGAGATCCCGATCGGACTACGTTGGTTCTACTGCACTGGTCTCGGAATAGCTTTACTGTGCATGGGTACGCCCTCCCCTCCCCCCTTCATTTACACGCCGATCTGATCTCATCTGGATTCATCTGTTTTCAACCGAACCCGACTAACCCATCCTCAACAGGCATAATCTCCCTCTCCCACATCCACAAAGACGGGCCCCTTGGGCAGCGTCTCCGCAAGAAACACCGCATGGCGAACCGCTTCTGCGTCTGCGCCATCCTCTTCTGCCTGCCTACATCCCGTGCCCTCAATTCCCTGCACCTCATCGCCATTGTGACCGGCCTGATTGTATGGGTGCTGCTGCTAGAGTTGTGGGGCTGCAGTTGTCCGGAAGAGAGCTTTTTTGGCGAGAAGAAGGGTTGTAGGTATACGGCTAGGTGTAGGGCTGCGAGAGGCGAGGTGGGTGATGCGGAGGGAGAGGCGAGGAAAGGGG